CAACACAATCATGCAAAAAGGTCTAAATTGAATGATATGCTAATGCATAGAGACTAAAACATAATTTATCCCTAAAAAAAACTTTATAGCATGGCAAGGTGAGGATCTTGTCCAGGACGACTTGACTCGGACGCGGACGCCTTTTTAAATATTATATATATTTTCTTCATTTTCTCATTCTCTTTTAAAAAAATACTTCTCTTCATATTTAAAAGTTCTTTCATATAATTAGTTTTTTACGAAACTCATTTAAAATAGGTGAAAATTAATTTAAAATTTCGATGTGTTAATACTCTAATCACTTCCAATGATCATTCGATAGACTAGTTTTTAAGTATGTTGTTTGTTTTCTCGAAATAATATTCCTCACCGTTTGAATATTTTAAAAAAACCCCCAAAATCCTTCAAATAAAAAAGTCCTCAAACCCCTAAAATTGGGTTTTTTATTCATTTTCATCAATTTTGAATGGATTTTTTTGGAAAATCAACTCTAGGAGAAGAACGAAGAGTAGAATGTGAATATTTTAGTACCAATATTGCAACGAAAGAAGGTCGATGATGGGCAATGATTGCCTACCGAGGACGATCGAAAAAGTACAGTGCCAAAAATGGAAAAGTTTAAAGGTTTAGTGGCAAAATTGATACACTTTTAAAGTTTAGTGCCTAAAATGATATCGTTTAATGCATTCATAGTCACACCAAAACGATGTCGTTTGGTCCTTGTCATCACACTACTTGGATTTTAATTGCTTAGTAACATAATTGAAGTTAAAACTAAAGTCCAGTGCTATAATTGAAGAAATTAAAAAATCGGTAATATAAAAGATACACCATCTTAAATTTAGTGATATTTAGTGTAATTTACCCTAATTGTTAAACATGTGCCCTATGAGACATCCAAATACCACTGTTCATATACTTTTTAGTTCTTTAATTTATTTTGCTCAATCCTATAGTACAAGATCGAATATTTTTATTTATTTTTAGTTATAAAAGCAATTGTAAACACAATCACAACGAAATAATTAAAATATAAATCAATCAATATAATACATTGTCAAATTGATAATTAAAATATATAGAAATTTACACTAAAATAAATATGGGCAAAATATATATACGATAAACCACGAAATAAAATTATTTCAAATTTAAATCAACACATAATATTTGATGAATCAAAACAGAAAGAATGAAACACGTGAAAAATCATTCTATCGCTAGATTTCCTTGTCTCAAAATCAAAGAATCTCAATGCGTCATGTCACATCGACATCATGTCCAAAAGTCTTGGATTTGCTTGAACAAAGGGGAAAAAGTTTTTTCCCCCTAAAAAATAGTCAAATATTTCAATCGTTAAGTTTAGGCTAGAAAAACAAAGAAATAATATTCATACATAGTAATTATTTAAGTTATGCGTCGGTCATTTTTTTCCTTTGCTCTGCAATTTCATGGGTCTTGTTTGAAAAAAATTGAAGATGCACTATAGTCTATGCGTCTTTTACGGTCAAATTGAATACAGATAATATATTATTAGTGTATTTTTCATCTTTTGGGGTTTGGGATTTTCTTAAATTTAAAAAGTTTTGAAGTATTTGTTCAAAAATCTAAATTCCTATCAAGCAGACGAACAACATACCTCAAAACTTACTATCATCAGACAATTGTCGGAGGAGATCAAACCATTAGAATGTTGAACCTTTAGATAGATTTTTGTTGATTTTAATTGAGTTTCACAAAAAATTAATCATGGGTGAAGAAATATGAGTGAAATGCGAACATTTTAGTATCAATCTTATCATGAATGATAATCGATGAAGTATGACAATAGAATAACAGTGGAAGTCAAATGATTTGATGATTTTGTGTAGGAACCAAATTAAAGTTCAATGCCTAAAAAGTGTTTTAAAGTTTTGTGATAAAATTGACACACAAACTAAAGTTCACGGGGAAGAAACAATCACGTCCTCACATTATTAACGATTTAATAGTTCAGTGTACTTAATAAATTCGAAACTAAAATTCAGTACTAAAATTAAAGTAATTTAAAGTTCAATTATAAAAACAATACAAAACTTTATGCCTATTTTGTAATATTTTGATAAAATTTAATGATAATTGTGTAATTGTTTGATGAATTTAATGACCGTTCTATAATTTTTACCTTTAAAACTTATTTAAAATTTAATCACAACATTTTGTTTTTAAGAGCTAAAAATAAAATGAATTTGAAGTTTTTACCCATTATAGTTTTGTGAGAATATCTAATCTCCCAGGAGATTTGATTATAACAGGCTTTATAACACCCTTTAACTCGTACTCGACTCGGATACAGTTTGGGATGTTACAGGCTTAACAAACATAATTTCCCTAAAGAATACATTGATTCTTATATTGATTCTTAATGTTATATTTTTTGTCAAAAGTGACCTTTTAAGTATATTTTCGTCAACATGTTTGCCCCTAAATATTAACATCATTTTTTTAAAATAGGTACGTAGATTGTATTAGTCATAAAGAGAATCATGTAGAATAATACTAGATATAAATTCAAGACAATCATAAGTATAATAGAACGATTAGTGATAGTCTGATGAGCAAGTGCGTGATTTCTTGAAGCAACAAATATAGAGATGGATCGTTCTGACATCCCCGAGCGCTAGACATAGAGAGGAGAACCTAGAGAGTAATCAATGCAAGACGAATGAAAAATCAATCCCCTTAATCGTAGTTTCATTTGGCACATATATTTGAAAACTAATAGAATGTTATATATAAATGAACGAAAAAAATCAAGTATCAGAAAAACAATCAATAAAAAAAACTCGTAAAACCATATATCAAGAAGAAGATAAAAGAAAGAAACTTGCTTGAAAAAAATAAAGTGACCGGACAAAGCCACCATTGCTGCCCTTAACGCAAAAGACTTGTGATAACCGGCTTTAACTGCAAGAGAGAGAAAAATGATAAAAATGGATTGTCGTATTTTATAATGACATTAACACCGTTAAATATAATTAATTTTCATCTTAAATGCCCTCATAAATACAAAATTACTTAAGTATCCCTAAAGTTTAATGATTGGTTGAGAGCTTAAAACTCTATAAATGGATGAGACATCCTTGGGATTACAAATGAGTTTTGAAACCCTAAAATACCTTTAAAGCTTAAAGGTTTGTAAGAGCTTAATATTTTTTTTATTATAAAAGTACTTGATACTTATTGGTATAATGATAAAATTAGCTCTTGATATTTGCTCAAATGATCACTTTGACATTTATTTTTGAAGTATTTTAATCCTTAAGGTTTTAGCTTTTTATCAAAATAACTCATGTTGGATGAAAACCGAAATAACTCATGTTGAATTAAAACCGTTAGTTAACTAACGATAAATGTATGTTATTGACGTAATATTTTCATGTATATTTACATGTCATATCATCCCTTTAAGTAACATACGATATATTATATCTTTACTTTGTGTCATATCATTACTTTGGGTAACATACATATGTCACATCATTCTTTTGGTAGCATGTAAAAATATTACATCAACAACATACGTTGATTGTTAGTCAAGTAACCATTTCTATCTAATATAGATTATTTTGATAACAAATTAAAACGTTGGAACTAAAATACTAAAAAATATGGATCAAAGTGACTATTTAAACTAATATTAAAGACTAATTTTATCGTTATATCATTAAAATATCAAGTAGTTTTATAATAAAAATTATTACCGATTATTTTATTTAAATTACTTTCAAATATTAGACCAGCATTCAAACTTTAACAAATAACCATATTTCAGAATTACTCAATTGAAACAAAATTAAAGGTTTTTGAATTTTCATATCCGAATCGAAAAGTTTTACTTGCTTTTCAACAACCCAATTGGTCTTCGTTAGGATTGTAAAATTCACACCCTAGATTGAACACCAACCCATTTTGCGTCCTTTATTACATATTATATATTCGAGATTATTTATATCCTATAAATAATTTGAAGGTTCATCATGATATTATAAATAAAATAAAATAAATTATAAAAATTGATCCCATAATTAATATTTACAATCAATCAACGAATCAAATACAAGTGATTGTACTAAAAAAATGTAACTTATAATTTCATTTAATTATTTTGTCTATATGTGTACATAATCTACTTTTATATTTTACATACAACGTTTTCATTCGCTCATATCATAAGTGTGACAAAATCTAATGTAATTAACGTAAATTATAAAATTATATATTTTACTTAAATATATATAAGTTAAATTTAACATATACTCACACATCACTTAAAAAAGTCAAATTTTTATAATCAACTTTATACACATTGAAGTTATAATTACAATTATAAATTATATATCTGAAAATATATATTCAAAATTGATTATTATAAAATATCATCATACTATTAAATATTAATTGATATATATATATATATATATATAAACATAATTAATTAAACTTAAACAACAATAATACTTTATATAATGTAAAATTCAAATCCAAAAATCTCAAATTTTTCATATAATTATGTTTAATTCTAAAGTCGTTTTCTCATATACCTAATCAAAGAAATTCAGCTTGTCAGAGATCTAATATTTTCCAATGCCTATGACTTTCAAAGAAAATAATTAAATAAAAATACTTTTTAATATTAAAAGTTTTTGCGTCTGGGTTCCATTTCAGATTACTTCATCATTAATTCCACATAATTTTATATTAATTTTTGTCGATTGACCGAGTAATTAAATCGTTAATTATTGATTATATTATTACATAGTCCGGTGTAAACTGTTGTGATTTTCCCATTATTTTTTTAAAAAAAACCAACACTGTTTAAGTGGTGGCTGCTGAATTAACTGTAATTATTATCAGATGATTAAATCCGAATTAAAAATCATGCTTAAAAAATTAATGCTTCTTATTCTTTAAAGATTCCGATCACAAACATTAGTTTAATTAATATTTAATTATGCCGAATTAAGTTTTGAAACTTTCAATGCGGATTTGTGGGACAATGTTTATGTTTTAAAATTATATCCCCATTATCATTTTGAATAATGACAACCTTTGATTATGTTTGACATTGTATTTGTTTTATATGGGAATAATGTAATTTTGTCTCTGAGTCATAATTTTTTTATTTGTGTCTACTTTTTTGTCTACAGCACTCTCATGTAGAGATGGACACAAAATGATATAATTAGTTTTCTCATTGTCTCGATATAAAATTAATTATTTTTTTATCAAATTCTGACTCATCATGATATTTTATGACGTTTCACTTATTCTAAAATTCATGGTAAATTTATTTTGACATGATGTAATTTTTTTCTTCATTTTATTCGATTTGATGAGAAATAACTGGAAAAAAATCTATACGAACATTATAGCTATTGTCTCTAAATATAAACATAGATAATTATAATAATAATTATGGCTCGAGTGGATTTCTTATTTTAAACTTAACTCTACATTAACCTAAACAAATTTCAAAAAATGAAAAATCAACCTTGTATGACTAGGTTAGGTTGAAACATGTCATGCTTGAGTAATATGAACGTCTCTACTTCCAAGACTTATATAATATTAGGATGATATCATCAAGAGAATTTAAAATAAGTTAAAAGTTGAATTTATCATGTGGTTTCAGTGATAAAACGGAATGTTATTCTCCTAAAGGTATTGGAAAAACTGGTTAGATATTAAATTCTTGAATGGGTTGGGGTTGTGTCTACTCCTCCAAAATTTTTGTGTCAAATATTTTTCGATCTAAATATTTTTTAAATTTCTATTTATTTTAAAATTATACAAATTAAGCCTGATCCTTAGTTTTTTATTGTTTGGATACTAATTATAATTATGCCAGTTTTGAAATTAAGCAAAATAGATCCTGACCCTCTTACTTTAAAATTTCATATCAGTACAATAATTAGACATTGATTGTGTTTTATTATCATTTATAAGTTTCATCTTGATTTCTTCTCTATTCAAGTATAAATCTATCAAACTCGATTTAAGATTAAACATAAAAGAAAATTTAAAAATAGATTCGATCCGACTCGACTTTAACTCTAACATCAACCTAACTAGAAGCGAAGAGAGGTTAGCTAGCAGCAAAGTGTGGAATATTAGTGCATGGTGCAGAGGTTACGTAGCCATCAACTTTATAATGATGGTTAAGTGAAACAATTATTTAATTAATGTACCAAAATACTTAGTGGGTCACAAAAGGCAATTATTGTGTGATTAATCAATAATCTAGTGTAATTTTTCAGTTAAGAAGTCCACCTTTGCCTGCTAAAGCTTACACAAAGAAATGTGGGTAAAAAATAAAATAAAATATTCTAACCCAAATTAATTACCCTAAAAGATATTGTGTAGCCACTAGGGCAATAGAATCTTGTGTTTCTTAAATGTGTTTAGTAAATGCTGTGATGATTAAAATTATTTACCACATGAAAGTGGATTTTAACTTGCTTTTAATAAACTAATTTAAATGCCATTTTCCGCAGCTAAGTATGACCAATAATTTGTGTAAAATTATGGCACCTTGATCATTGCTTTTACAGGTTCAATGGCTCCGTGGCAAATGCTTAGAGGGAACTTGAATTTTTTATTAAAAGTTATATGGGTTAAAATTCCAACTTTTATATTTATTAGATTTTGAAAAGAAAATACTATTCTAAAATCACGAGCGAATATTAATAATCAAATAGTCACACATAATTAATAAATTTAATCTTAAAAGTTACGGTGAATCGATGATGTGTTATATCATAATTCACTGATAATACATAAAAACATATATTTTTGGTACATCAAATATTAATCATTAAATTATTAATAATTATTTTGATAGAAATTATGACCTATATTACGTTTGACAATACCAGAAAATTTAGTGCTGTGACTCACTTGATAAAAAATAAAATTCAAAGAAAAATAAAGGATGTGTGGTGGATGAAGAGATTAGAAGTGTTTTATATTTACTTATTCTTAGTGTATGTATGTATGTATGTATGAGCTTTATTGTCTTTATTTCTATGTTTTTTAATATTATTTGATTGAGTGTTTTGAGTTTTTTTTATATGATCTTATTTTTATTATTTAGTGTATGATTTATGTTTTTCTATGTTCTTAAAAAATAAGCGATTTATATGATTAATTTACTTTAATATTTTGTAAACATTTTTAAGAAGTATAATTTTATTATATATGTACTTTTTATTAATTCACTATAATTAACCATTTTTGTTAATAACATGTAAGTACTCAAAGTTTCAAAACTACTTGTAAAGTTTCGATTGTGGTTTTTATGAATTAATGGTGTATGATTTTTGGCTTTTTGGTTATACTTTGTAAAATTAATATAATTAAAATATATGAAGCACTTTCCCAAAAGTGCGTATTACATTTATATCTTATCAACGTCAAATCAACAGTTAAATTCTGTGTTTTTGTCCAAAAAAAAAAACATGAGTTTCTTTTTCTTCTTTTTCTTATATCAAAATTAGTGATATTCTAAAATATAATTTGTTAACCTAATAATAAAGAATAGTAGGAATCGGTTATAATTATAAATTTTATTAATAACATAACTTATTAAGTTGGACAGAATAATATTTTTCAGTGTAATTAAAATAATTTTTTATAACATTTTCAGTTTTAAGTCCTAACTCTCGCAATAATTGCAATTGAAAGGTATACAAATTTATGTAATTTTTTAGGTTGAATATGATAATATTTTAAATTGAAATTATTTTAAATTAGTATTAAATTAGATTATCGCATGGTAGTACCACCCATCAAATCACAATTACATAACATGATCTCTAGAATATTTGTGATTAATTTACGAAGAGTAAAGATATCCCAAAAATATCTAACCAAAGTAAAATCATAATGTTAGTCTAAAGCCCAAAACATTAATAAAATTAGAATTATCGATATGCTTTCGACCCAGTAAAGGAATTTGGCTCAAATCCTATACTTTTGTTCTCTGATCTTACATGTTGTTTGGATTAAACGTTTTTGGGCCCAACCAATATATATAAGTTATCAATAACCTGCCCACCTGTTATCGATTGATCCAACGAGACGAGATGTAAATTTTTTTAATAAGAAAATGAATCTTAAAATGATAAAATTAAGTTGAAAAAGATAATTTTATAATAAATTTTTACAATACCTAATATGAATTAGTTAATAAATAAATTGAATATCGATAGATATACAAAATAACCATGTCTTATTTTAGTTTGAGATTAAGCTCATTAATTCAAAAAGTCAATTATCGAGTCGTTTAAGGGTTATGTTATTACGCAATAGGTATAAATTGAAGTGGTAAAAATCAATAACATAATTAGAATTAAGTACAAAGAAGGGTTAATTTGTTCTACATTAAAAAAAATAAGAATATATAAAGTATTTTAATGTAAAAAATAGGTTAAAAATATCAATATATTAAAGATCGATAGTTTATAACTATAAATGTAAACTAAATATATATTTATGACATATTCTTATAACAATTTAAACAAGAAGTTAGTCACTTGAGATCATACAATGACCATACAAGGAAAATCTTAAAAACTCATCCAAGAAACTCGAACAAAAGATAGATACGTACTGATCTGACTACATCGACAAACAAACTCAAACAATAGATCAAACTACTAAAAGATTACTGACAATCACAAATCAAAATCGAGAGATATGTGAAAAATATATTCAAATACAAACTGCGTATCTAAGTTAAATATAAGAGTCTATATGTATCTAAAGACTAACGACTATTTAAAATAAGTGAGTTTGTAAAACCCTAAAAAATATTTTCTAGCATCGCATGCCTCTTGCTCATTTTTTTTATTTGGTAAGTACATATACCAACCTTGGTAATAGTCGTTGACGGTATCTATTCTTTATATTTTTACTTTTTATATTATATCTTTAATTCTTTAAGTAGTGGGTCAATCGAGACCTCGGTTTACATTTGAATACGCAGTTTGTATTCGAAGATAATTTACTTATTATGGGTCGATTTTGATCTTAAATTGTCGGTGATATTTTTGTAGTTTGCTCTCATGTTATGTTCGTTTGTCGATATAGTGAGATCTATTCGTATATATATTTGTTTGAATTTTTGATGAGTTTTTAATTTTTTTACCTGATCCTTTTGTGATATTTAATTATTAATTTCTTGTATCACCGAATTTTAAAAAAATATCATAATTATATATTTAATTTACATTTATAATTTTAAATAATTTTTAATAAAAACAACGGTTTTCATCTGCGTAAAAAAATAGAATAATTTTGTTCATGGAACCTCATTTTGTTACAATAATTAATCAATAAAATAAATAGGCAAATCTCAAGAAAATCAATAATAAACTCACTTCATGCGCGGTACGTCTTTGCCAGCTTAGGTTCAGACAATACTCTCCCCACGTCCCGTTCTCCTGTCTCCATCTTCCCCTTCCTCTGTCTTAAAACCACAAAATCCCACTGGAAAAACAAACCGGGGGCCAAAGCCCCATGTCGGACTATGACGAAGACGGCAGCGAAGATTACCTTTTCAAGATAGTCATAATCGGGGACTCAGCCGTCGGCAAATCTGTTAAAAGTTTCAAAGTTTGGCAACCAACTTTGGAAAATGTTTTTTTCAAAGTTTGGTAAATGTTTCTTTGAAAAATGTTTTTCAAAGTTTGGTAAAATTTTGGTAGATGTTTGTTGAAAATAGGAATGGGTAAATTCACTTTAGTCATTGCACTTTAGGGTATTTTCAAAGATTAGTCCCTAAGTTTCTACTATAAATACCCTTACCCATTTAGCTTCAAAATCATCCCAAAACATTTCTTTCTTCCTATACTAGAGAGCTTTCTTGTGAGTAGTGAGTGTTTTGTAAACACCTGTAAATTTTCTCTCTTAGTAAAAGATCTGCAGCAGCCCGGAGACGTAAGCACAATTGGCTGAACTCCGTTATCAATTTTCGGGTATTATTTTTCCGCTTTTATTTTGCATTCTCACTAATCTGGTTATAGGGAAATTACTTGTACTCGGTTTATTTTCCTAACAACTGGTATCAGAGCTTTTGGTTGTGAATTTTGTCAAATTTTCTGCGAGGTTACTATTCATTACTATTCACGTGAATAGTGAATTTCGTGAATAGTGAAATTCGGTCGGCGATACGAGTTTGTCGACGGTGGTGTTCTAATACACAGTGATTCGCAAGAATTGTCAGAAACGATCCAAACGAAGCCAGATTCGAGTGGGAGCGATGGCTGCAGACGAAGGGAAGGTGAAAATTGAAAAGTTCGATGGTGCGGACTTTGGCTTTTGGAAGATGCAGATTGAAGATTTTTTGTACCAGAAAAATCTATATCAACCTCTCTCAGGAAAGCAACCAGAGGGCATGAAGGATGAAGATTGGGCTCTTCTCGACAGACAAGCCCTCGGAGTTATCCGACTGACGTTATCCCGCAATGTTGCTTTTAACATAGCAAAGGAAAAGACCACGGCGGGTCTTATGGCGGCTCTCTCCAGTATGTACGAGAAGCCATCGGCCTCAAACAAAGTTCATTTGATGAGGCGATTATTCAATTTGCGGATGACGGAAGGGGCATCGGTGGCACAACACCTAAATGAACTCAACACAATCACAACCCAGTTGAGTTCAGTGGAAATTGAGTTCGATGATGAAGTTCGAGCTTTAATTCTCTTATCATCTCTACCAGACAGTTGGAATGCTACTGTTACAGCAGTCAGCAGTTCGTCGGGAAACATCAAATTAAAATTCGACGATGTTCGGGATCTGGTACTGAGTGAAGAAATTCGACGGAGAGAATCGGGTGAAGCATCAACCTCCTCAGCCTTGCACACGGAGTCTAGAGGAAGAACTTCAGAAAGATATTCAAATCGTGGCAGATCAAAATCCAGACGGGAAAAATCTAGAACGGGAAAGAAAGATTTTACCTGTTATAATTGTGGCAAGAAAGGTCACTTTAAAAGAGATTGCCGAGCACTGAAGAAAGATACCGGTGCACAGGAATCTGCCAACGTGACAGAGGAGACAGGTGATGCCATGATTCTAAGCGTCAACAGTCCGATTGAATCATGGATCTTGGATTCAGGGGCATCTTTCCACTCCACCCCATGCCAAGAAATCATGGAGAACTATGTCAGTGGTGATTTTGGGAAGGTTCATCTTGCTGATGATGAAACCTTAAAGATCGTCGGAAAAGGAGACATCCGACTAAAGTTGCCAAACCAGACCACCTGGAAGCTGACAGGAGTGAGACATATTCCTGGCCTCAAAAGAAATCTGATTTCTGTTGGACAGCTTGATGGAGAAGGATATAGCACAACCTTTTCAGGCTGTGAATGGAAGATTACCAAAGGAGCACTCGTCATTGCTCGTGGTAAGAAGACTGGTACTCTCTATGTAACCTCAAATTTAGAGAATATCATTGCAGTAGCAGATGCTGATGGAAAATCAAACCTATGGCACCAAAGGCTTGGCCATATGAGCGAGAAAGGGATGAAGACACTTTTGTCAAAAGGGAAGCTGCCGGATCTAAAAAATGTAGATGTCGGACTATGCGAGGATTGCATCTTTGGCAAACAAAAGAAAGTCAGTTTTGCAAAGATTGGCAAGACACCCAAGGCAGAAAGGTTAGAATTGGTTCATACTGATGTATGGGGACCATCCCCAGTTCCATCTCTTGCAGGCTCACTATATTATGTCACCTTCATCGATGATTCAACAAGGAAGGTGTGGGTTTATTTTCTGAAGAAGAAATCAGAAGTCTTCGATATCTTCAGAAAATGGAAGGCCATGGTGGAAAATGAGACTGGTTTGAAAGTCAAGCAGTTGAGGTCTGACAATGGAGGAGAGTACAGAGACAGTAGATTCAGAGATTTCTGTGCAAACAATGGGATCAAGATGGAGACAACAGTTCCCAAGACACCGCAACATAATGGTGTAGCAGAGCGCATGAACAGAACTCTGAATGAACGTGCCAGAAGTATGAGGATACATGCCGGCTTGCCCAAATTTCTATGGGCTGAAGCAATCAACACTGCAGCTTACTTGATCAACCGTGGGCCCTCAGTTCCTTTGGATGGCAGAATACCAGAGGAAGTTTGGAGCAAGAAAGAAATAAACCTTTCACACTTAAGAGTGTTTGGTTGTATTTCTTATGTACACATAGACTCTGCTGAAAGAAGTAAGCTTGATGCTAAGTCCAACAAATGTGCCTTTGTTGGTTATGGCGGTGATGAGTTTGGTTACCGGTTTTGGGACTATGAAAATCGGAAGATCATCAGAAGCAGAGACGTCATTTTCAATGAAAATGTGATGTACAAAGATAGATCAACCGCAGAATCAAGTAATACCGAAGCTGAAACAAAGGAATTTGCTGAGTTCGAGGAGATTTCTGGAAATGATGTTCAGATCAATCCTGAAGCAGTTCAAGAAGAACCAGGCACACCAGAACTGAGACGCTCCTCCAGAATTCCTAAACCAACCCAACGGTATTCTCCTTCTTTACACTACTTGTTGCTGACTGACAATGGTGAACCAGAGTGCTATGATGAAGCAATGCAAGTGGAGGATTCAGTCAAGTGGGAGTCTTCCATGAAAGATGAGATGGACTCGCTTATGTCAAATCAGACATGGGAATTAGCTGAATTACCACCAGGCAAGAAAGCGCTCCACAACAAGTGGATTTACAGGATCAAAGAAGAGCACGATGGGAGCAAACGCTACAAAGCAAGATTGGTTGTCAAAGGCTTTCAGCAAAAAGAAGGTATTGACTACAATGAAATTTTCTCTCCAGTCGTAAAATTGTCTACAATCAGACTGGTGTTGAAAATTGTAGCTGCAGAGAATTTACATCTTGAGCAGTTAGATGTAAAGACAGCTTTCCTTCATGGTGATTTGGAGGAAGAAATCTATATGAGGCAGCCAGAAGGCTTCATAGAGGCAGACAAGAAAAACCTGGTATGCAGGTTGAAGAAGAGCTTGTATGGTTTAAAACAAGCTCCTAGACAGTGGTACAAGAAGTTCGATAGCTTCATGAGTAGCAGTGGTTTTATCCGATGCCAAGCAGATCATTGTTGCTACATCAAGAGGTTCGACAACAACTTCATTATTTTATTATTGTAAGTTGATGACATGCTCGTTGCAGGCTCAGACATGCAAGAGATTATACACTTGAAGCAAAAATTGTCGAAGCAGTTTGCTATGAAGGATCTGGGCGCTGCAAAGCAGATTCTTGGGATGAGGATCAAGAGAGACACAAAGTCGGGGACTTTGATGTTATCACAGGCTGAGTACATCAACAAAGTACTCTCCAGGTTCAACATGCAAGATGCTAAACCAGTAAGTACACCTTTAGGTGTTCATTTCAGACTCTCCAAAGACCAATCACCAAAGACGGAGGAAGAACGTGCACACATGGTGAAGGTGCCGTATGCCTCAGCAATTGGAAGTCTGATGTATGCCATGGTTTGTACCAGACCAGATATTGCTCATGCAGTGGGAGCTGTTAGCAGGTACATGAATAATCCGGGCAAGGTACACTGGGAAGCAGTCAAATGGATCCTCAGATATCTTCGTGGTACCACAAACAAAGCACTTTGTTTCAAAGGTGGAGATATGATACTGACAGGCTATGTAGATGCTGACTTAGCCGGAAATGTCGACATCAGAAGGAGCACTACAGGGTATGTCTATACTCTAGGAGGAACTGCAGTGAGTTGGGTTTCTCAACTACAGAAGATAGTTGCTCTCTCCACAACTGAAGCAGAATATGTCGCTGTTACGGAAGCCAGCAAGGAGATGGTTTGGCTCCAAAGTTTCTTGGAAGAGTTAGGCAAGAAACAAGAAAACAATATCTTGTATTGCGACAGTCAAAGTGCTATCCATCTAGCAAAGAATCCGTCTTTTCATTCCAGGACAAAGCACATACAATTGAGATATCATTTTATCCGGTCTCTTCTGGAAGATGGGATTTTGAAACTTGAAAAGATTAGTGGAGCTCAAAATCCGGCAGACATGTTGACAAAGACGGTGACTACGGACAAACTGAAGTTGTGTTCAACTTCAGTTGGCATGCTAGAATAACAAGACCAGACATGCTGCTGCATTGATCGAGGTGTGAAGACATATTAAAATCAGTCTTCAAGTGGGAGATTGTTAAAAGTTTCAAAGTTTGGCAACCAACTTTGGAAAATGTTTTTTTCAAAGTTTGGTAAATGTTTCTTTGAAAAATGTTTTTCAAAGTTTGGTAAAATTTTGGTAGATGTTTGTTGAAAATAGGAATGGGTAAATTCACTTTAGTCATTGCACTTTAGGGTATTTTCAAAGATTAGTCCCTAAGTTTCTACTATAAATACCCTTACCCATTTAGCTTCAAAATCATCCCAAAACATTTCTTTCTTCCTATACTAGAGAGCTTTCTTGTGAGTAGTGAGTGTTTTGTAAACACCTGTAAATTTTCTCTCTTAGTAAAAGATCTGCAGCAGCCCGGAGACGTAAGCACAATTGGCTGAACTCCGTTATCAATTTTCGGGTATTATTTTTCCGCTTTTATTTTGCATTCTCACTAATCTGGTTATAGGGAAATTACTTGTACTCGGTTTATTTTCCTAACAAAATCTAACCTCCTTTCACGCTACGCTCGCAATGAATTCAACCCACATTCCAAAGCTACCATTGGCGTCGAGTTCCAGACCCAAAGCATGCGAGTCTATGGAAAAGAAGTTAAAGCTAAGATTTGGGACACCGCTGGTCAAGAAAGGTTCCATGCCGTCACTTCAGCTTATTACAGAGGCGTTGTCGGTGCTCTTATTGCTTATGATATCAGCCGTTGAACTACATACGATAGTGTCGCTCGTTGCCTTTAAGATTTTTTTTAAATTACCCTTTTCTTTGTTTATGGTTTTAGTGTGCAATATCTGTGAATTATTATGGAATTTTAAGGGTTTTATTGGATTTTCTGTGGAATTTGAGGATTTTGAGGTTCTTTTCAGCTGTTGATGGTCTTCAGCTGGATTGGATTTTGATATTAGTTTGTGACTCAAATTGTACGGAAAAGTTTGTAGTGCAGCTTAATTGATAAAGAAATAAAACGGTATAACTTTATGCAGTTAGGGATATTGATAGAGGTTTGATGCACTCTCGTATAATCTTCCTGGATTTGCCTCTGACAGTAGATTTCTCTCATCTGTTGAATTTTTTCCTGATTTATTTCCTTTTTAGAATTTTCAGATAAATCTGTATGTTATTGTCTTTGCCATCATTTTCGTTTACTCGCCGAAACCTCTATGTTATTTCTTTTAAAAGGATTCTGATTTGATTGTGTTGCTTTTACTGATTCTTGTGGTTTAGGTTTAGAGTATTGGATCTGATGCTGAAATCATTGTAATGTAAGGCTCAAGTTGGAAGAATACTGAAAATAGCAGTGGCAAGTGTTAGTGTTAGTGTTACCTAAATATAGGTTAAATTCTAAGGATTTACTCACTCTACTTGTCTGATGGCTCGTTTTCGAATAGGTTGAGGTATGTCTAATAGTTAAATGGAGTTAGCAGAAAAAGTTACTCAAAGGATTTAAATGAGCAATTTGAAAACTAGAAGGATCAATTTTGAGAATCTGCACAAATTGATAAGTACAGGGACCTTATTTAGGATTTAACCAAAGTTGGCTAGGGACTGGTTTTCTGGCAGGGAATAACGTTTCAGTTTTGAAAAAGAAAATAATGGTTTATGAGTATTATTCTGAACCGAAGCTGCTCTCAACTTGGCGTTGGGACAGCCTACTATCCTACCTCCCCTTACCCCATTACATATGGGAATAAGGGCCAGCTAATTATTCCGAACCGAAACGTATTCAACTTCTATACCATTTAATTATTAACCGAACCAAATACTCGAGTTGAAACCGAACCAACTTCGATACCAAGTCGAACATTATGATTTGAGTTAGTTTTCAGTTTTATCGATTTCTTTGAATCAGTCATACTATATGATGCATTTAGGAAAGAAATTATCGTTCCCTATGGTGGATTTTATCCCTGAATGTAGCATTTGTTCATACAGGGTTTTTGTTAACTTGAATGTTGCAGATTCATACCTTGTGTCGCATATAGCTAGATAATGCATCTTTTTCGGATAGATTTATTCTACTTGAATTCCGAATTTCTGTGAATTCATACAGAAAACCATATGGTTGGTTTTGGTAACTTAGATTTAGAAGAAAGGAATTTGGAATTTCAAATTTTCTGTCCATTTTTATGCTTGATTGTGTTTATGCTAAGGAGGCTCACTTAACCTTTTGGTGCAGCTCATTGCGATTCGACGGTAGCGAGGATGTTGGTTCGCAACAAATGCAACCTCGAAACTATCCGAGATGGGAGTGTCGAAGAAGGCAAAACCCTAGCCGAAGAAGAAGACATGTTCTTCATGGAGACATCTGCTTTAGATTCAATGAATGTTAAGGAGGCGTTCGAGCTTGTTATACGAGAGATTTACAACAATGTCAGCAGGAAGCCGAATTAACCGTCAATCTTGTTGTTCCAGCTGATATATCATATTTTTCAGAAAGCGTACAAGATGAGCCCTTCCCATGGTTTTAATATTCAATTTAGTCAGTTTGTTCGGTTTTCCTCGTGTTTTCTCGACGGATATGTGTTATGGGAGTCGTTATTACCGAACAATACTGTATCATATGGTTAAATTATTGTCTTAACGTTAAAGAAACTAAGAACTAATTTTTAATTTATTATGGATTACAAGTTTTACCTGTTTAAAGTGAATCAGGCAGGCATACATTTTCACATTATAGTACTATACGATTGATTACTAATCAGGCTGTTACTAAAACTCAGGTGTGTGTTAGTCGATATGTTACTCATATTCTGTTGTATTTTTTTAGATGTTTTTGAGCCGTTAAAGACAGTTTATTTGGTTCGATTTTTCATTTTTTTTTATTAATTTTACCACTCCGAAAGATGCCAACCAATGGGGTATGCGTGAACTTAGAACATGATGTTGTAATTAGACTAGTCTAACTTCTCCAAGCTATTACCGATATAAGCTCGTCCATAGAAATTAGTGGGCCAAGCTTCATATAAATTCATATATATTATTTAAATTTGATTATAAAATGTAAAATTGATTTTTTCCCGATTAATAATGGTTTATATTGCACCAACATTCAAATTACAGCAGTTCACTGCAGAAATACAGAAACAAGGTTACAGTAGAAAAGAAACGAAACTCACGCCTAGCCTAGGCCTCAAGATCCCATTTCGTACAAAGAGCAGCATTTTCATTTCCCACCCTGCTTATACTCTTTCCCCTCAAACTAAGGCAAACAGATTCTTCACCAGTGCCATAATATCTGCTGCAGCAGAACGTTCAAGCTGCAGAAGCTGCCTTCGGTTCCTTTCCCTCCAAATCAAAGCAACGTAGTTGTTCCAGAAAATGTAAAAGAAACTCTGCTGACCAGGAAAACGAATTACATTGATAAATTTATTTCCGCCAACCAAACACCGGAAAATGTTTTCCAAAAGACCAATTAAAGTGAAACAGACATATTATAGACCCTTATTATTCATTACTACCACTCCAAATTAAATGCACAATCTGTTCCTGGACATGTATTCATTTCAACCAGTTTCTGTTCTCATGGTGAACAGGGAAGATATTCAACACAATCCAGCGCAGCATGCATAGAAATATAGGTGTAAATGATCAAAGTGTTCAATGAACACAAACCGAGTATGAACATCTTTAAAAATAAACAAACGAATACAAATACAAATACAACCTTACTCCTTTAAGCTCGATTCATTTACACCCCTACATAGAAATATGCAAGATGCCAGCCAGCCGGTCTGTTCTTTATGTCTCCTTTCTCCTGGTGCTTTCAGTTCCACGCATTTTGTTCCTAGTGCAGCAAAAAGCTCAGCTAAATTTCTGCAATTATCTCAACCATCAGTGTATCCAGGGATTACACATTCAATTGAAGAGGCTCAGGATTCTTATTCTGTTTATGTCTGCTTATAGAGAAATAATCATGTGTGATGTACATGAGAAAATCTAATACGAGGCTTTTCCCTGGTGTTGCTCCAAAAAATTCAACATCTCAATGTATGTTACGGTATGCTTGGTCCATGATTTTATAAAAAAACCTGGTCAAATTCAAAGGAGATCTTACTAAGCTTCAGACACCACATGAGTGCGCCCTTTTAGGCATCCCCTGCTTGCAAAAATGGGACAATAATACATTATTAGTAATGACATTTGGAATAAAGGCCATCTTAAGCAATTTTGCAGTTATGATCATGGCACAATCTAGTCTGTCTTTACAAACACCATTCATCATAGTGTTGTATGTCACGGTGTTTGGAACAACACCTGCTGACAGAAGTTGATCCAGTATCATCACAGCTCTATTCATTTTTCGACTACTACAGAAACCATGAATTCATATATTATAGGTTGTGATGTCTGGTTCCCACCCATTAGCATACATGCAATTCATAAACCGATCAACTTTAACCATGCTGAATGCTTCACCATACCCACTAATCAGAGTGTCGTATACGATATCAGGGACCAATCCTGCACGATGAATGTCCATAAATGCATCAAATGCTGATTTCATCCTGGCATGTTTACAAAATCCATTAAAGATGATATTGAAGGTAAAAATGTTGGGAACGAGACCCTTTTGCCTCATCTCTCTACCCAATTTCAGTGCTTCGTTTATCCTTCTATGGTTACAGAACCCACTAATCAAGGAGTTATATACAGAATTATTTGGAATTAATCCTTTGTTTGACATTTCAAGAAACAAATTATAGGCCTCCTCATTTAGACCAGCTTTAGAAAGTCCATTGATAAAGGCTGAGAATGCAACAGCGTCGGGATATCCCCCTATGTAGCATTTCGTTCCATATACCTTGAGACCCTACTAAATCTCCCTTCCTCAGCCACTCTATTGATCGGAAAACCCTTATGCATCATCTTATACAAGATCTCCCTGGCTTCCGGCAGCCTCCCGTTCCTGGATAAACCCATGAGCAAAGAACCACATGTGGAAGATGATGGAGTCAGGCTGAATTTCATCATAAATTTAAAGACTTCGTAGGCATCCTCTACTAAGCCTGCTCTGCTATATGCAGCAATGATAGAGTTAAAAGCAACAATACTTGGCTTCATCCCTCTCTCCAGCATATTTTCTAAAAATTTCATGGCTTCATCCACAAGGCCTCCCCAACATAACCCTGCAACTGAAATATCACACAATGAATGATCGGGAAGCAAATCCGGAACCAATAACTCTCTCAGCAACCTATCTCCATCCTCTTTCCGTCCATACTTGAAATGCCCTGCAACCAAAATATTAACAGTTACGGCATCGGGAATTATACCCTGGATTTCATTTCTTCATATACCATGTTTGCATGACCAACATCCCTTGCCTTAACATACCCATTTATTAAGGTATTGTAGATTGCAACATTAGGAGAAAGACCAATATCTTGAATCTCATTAACAACCTTCCTTGCCTCCACCAAATTTCCCTCTGAACACAAGGCATTAACAATTATATTAAACGTAAATATGCTCCGCTTACAACCCCTCTCGATCATCAATTGGACCCAATTAAGTGCATTCAAAGTCCATCCACTGATGCAATTGGCATTTATTAGAATATTATATGAACAAACATCCGGATCACACTTATACTTCCCCATCACATTAAGCAAACTCTGGGCAGTCCCAAGATGACCATTTCTGCAAAAACCAAGAATCATGGCATTGAAAGTATAATTGGAAGGACAGGGTCCTTCACGGATCATATCCCTAAAAAGCTTCCACACACTACCATAGTCACCAACTCTTAGCAAAAACTCGAAAAGAATTGTCATTGCAGAAGAACTTGGCACCGCATCCACCTCCCTCATCCTGCTCAAAATCCCCAAAGCCCGTGAACCCATGCCTGCAATCAGAAAAGCTCGCATAAGCTTATCGAGAACCGAGAAATCCGACTCATATTTATGGCGACCTTCCCACATAAACTTCACCAAATCCTCACTCCTAGTTTCTCCAATTCTACTGATTACCCAGGAAATCACATCTTGGGCAAGATACCTGAGGTTCCGAGCCGCTAAAATATGCGCAACTGTGCAAGAATATCTGATAGCATCCTCGGAATCATCCCTAAATGCAAACCTAAAGAATGCAAATGCGGTCTCTCTGGTTCCTAAAAGGTTCACGATTCTGACTAATAAATTTGGGCAGAACTTGTAAGAAAAAACTTCCAATAAATATCCATGCCGCAACTTGATAAGCTTTGATAGGCCAACAGTTACTCTACGGCGTTCATTCAAATTAATGAAGTTGAAAGAGTTGATGGAAGCTGCTTCATTAGAGTTACAAAAAGGGGAAAACTGATTCAATTAATCGAAGTCCGAATAAGTAGAAGAATGTCGAGTTTGGATGTTTGGGGTAAGATTGAATAAAATTAGGGTTTGTAAGGAGTGAGTACAATGTAGCCTTCGTTTTGGTAAAGAATTGAGATGGACAGGGGAGTGATGCAGCTGGAAAGTAATGACCATGCACATGCACCGTGATTTAGCAGACATGCAGAGTAACGCAATCAATTCCAGTTTCAGACAAGTTAAAAATAATAATAAACCAGCCATCCATTTTACAGCTAAAAACATAGGGTTTAAATACACTTTTTCCATCCATTTTATAGCTAAAAACTTCTAGGATTTAATTTTTTTCATTTTAAATATTAACCATTAATGTGTTAAGAAGTGAGAGTTTTAATCTCGTTGTTGTTCTTCAAGTTGTTCTTAATCTCAATGTATTCATTAAATTAATATTTTATTTTAACAATAAAATTTAATAAGATATTCATTTATTTTCCTTTTTATTTATAAATTTACCTACCTTTTAAGGTATTTATTTTAATAAACCTCGTGCATTTCATATACTCCTTCAAACATAAGGTTGCTGCAAGCCAATATTTGAAATTGCACTAAAAAATTCAAAGAGATAAAATATTTTATTTGAAGCCCCGACATACCAATGATGTAGGGTGATTGAGTTGAGAATTCTCCACCCTTACTTTGCTAGAAGTGCTGCATAAATTTTGATAAATCCCACAAACCTAAACCTCATTCTTTTAACTTGCTTAATTGCTCTCACGAGCACCAATGGATCTCCTTTTTCTTTTTGAACTTTTCCCATCAGAATCGTATCATAGTTATGTCCAACTCATTGCATAAAATCTTCAACAATAAGGAATAATTTATAGCAAAAATGATAAGACCCTTAACACTAATTTTATGAAAATTTCTTTACCTCATTGCGGTAACACCCTTGTACTCCATGCAGCCATGGTTAGGTTGTCAGAGGTCATGTGTAAATTTTTGTAAAGAGGTCTTTAGATCTCAAATTTATTTTTCTGATATAATAAATGACTAATTTCATTAACTTAAAAAATTGATAGATATACTCTATTTCGGGTCTCTGTGCAAATTTGAACTTGTTTTTCCAAAAAATAATTTTGCTTGTTAACGAGATTCAAACTTAGGATCAACAAAGTAATGAGCCCAATGATCTAGTTACTACTCTATACCTATTTTTTTTGTTTCTTAATGACAACAACTGATAAATATACTCTATTTCGGAGTCTCTATTTTTTGAAGCCCTACGCTGTTGTGCACTATAAATTCGGGTCTGTAACCTCTCTTTCATCGTCACAAAAACTTATCTCTTCTTTCTTCCTTTTATACACTATCTTCATGCTAGAAATCTAAATGAAGCCCCTTTATTTAGCTATTATTCCCTTTATTCTCTCCTCTGGTACTTGGTTGTTTTTTTACTCTTTCTCTAACACATACATGAAATACAAGAGTCTTTAATCCCAAATAATATTGTAGGAGAATTTAAGGACAATTTAAAGTATGGAAACATGAAAGAGGTCCTTAACATCTAACTTCAATCTATATAACATGAAAAAGGAGGGAGGATAAACAATGAAGGGGAGAGAGAGAAAAAAAAAGAAGAAGACAAAGGTGAAAAGTAATTAATCTTTTCACCTAAAATCAACAAAATTTTAGGAAATCTACTTATTTTTAATAACAATTTAATTGTACTTTTGAATATTTCTTAGTCATTTTCTATGCGAAAGTCTCATTTTATGACTAATAGAGTTCGAATTACATTCAATTAGACTAACATTCAACACAACGACTCTAATTATCAATTCCTATTGCATTATATAATCGTATACATATGTTTTAATTGAATTTTAATTTTATAAATTATTATCATAATCAACGATATGAAATTTTATGATTATATATTAGAAATATATAAATGAAAATTTATCTATTTATTTTCTAAATATGTGTAATTAAATAAAGATGGTTTTATATATTAAATTGTATAAAAATCAAAATTGTATGTATATATTTGATATTTAATCCCTTATTATTTCTTATATAATTAAAACCCTAGTGTTTAAATAGTCCTTTTTCCATCCTAAGGCTGTAGCTGTATTATCAGCAAACATCTATTCTTCTTCTTCTTCTTCTTCTTCTTCTTCTTCTTCTTCTTCTTCTTTTCTTTTAATTTTCTCTCATTCTTTGAACCTTTTAAATCCTAGAATCTTATCAGTGAGTCTAGGGTTTAGATATTTTTGTTTAAATAAGTTTCAAAGAAAATTTAATCACTGTTAAAAAATGGATGTTCCAAGTCTGGTTGTTGTTCTCCAGGCTGCTCTCAGTCCCAATCCTGCTGAACGCAAAGCTGCTGAAGAAAGCCTCAATAAGGTTTGTTGTATTCATTATTTTTTAATTTTTTTATTAATTGACTCTGAATATTAGATCAAAAGATTGATTTTTTTTGTTTGATTTCAGTATCAGTATACGCCTCAGCATCTGGTGAGACTGTTGCAGATCGTCATTGAAAATAATTGTCCTATTGCGGTTCGTCAAGTTGCTTCTATTCAGTTCAAGAACTTCATTGCCAAGAATTGGGCTCCTCTTGATCCAAGTATAAATTCTCAATCAATAAGCCAACAATTGTATCTTTCATTTAAAAAAAAAAATAGATATTCGGGTTTATGTTTATGAATATGATTATACTTCCTTTTGTTTTTTAATGAATGTAGACGAGCCGCAGAAAATTCTGCAAAGTGACAAAGATGTGGTTCGTGATCATATTCTCGTATTTGTAGCTCAAGTTCCTCCTTTGTTGAGGTATCCCTGTTTGTTGTCCCTCTTGGTTGTTTGTTTAGAATTGTTACCAAATGTTATTCGGCAACTTGCGCGTAAGTTGCTTTGTGCATCACGTCGGTTTGTTTGCAGGGTGCAATTGGGTGAGTGTCTCAAGACGATTATTCATGCGGATTATCCAGAGCAGTGGCCACGGCTTCTGGATTGGGTGAAGCATAACCTGCAGGATCAGCAGGTTTATGGGGCTTTGTTTGTGTTGCAGATACTTGCTAGAAAATATGAGTAAGTTTATATCGTATTTTTCTCTTTTTGGTCGCAAAAGTTCTCTATGAATTCAGTTGGTGATTTTGATGTTCTTTATAATGTAAATTGCTCACCGAAGGCGATGTTTTTTTATTTGTTTATTCAATTAACAGTATTCGATGGCCTTAATGCGCGACTAGAATACGTGCTAGCAGGCAGCTTTTTCCATTTGAAACCGCTATGATGATTTATGTTGTTCTTCTATTGTCATCATTTTCTTTATCGTTCTAGGTTCAAGTCAGAGGAGGAGAGAACTCCAGTTCACCACATTGTTGAGGAGACATTTCCTCATCTTCTCAATATATTCAACAGACTTGTTCAGATTGAAAAACCAGCAGTGGAAGTGGCAGATTTGATAAAGCTTATTTGTAAAATTTTCTGGTCATCTATCTATGTAAGTTATCAATTTTTTTTGTTCTCTTCGTTGCTTGCGGATATCAAAGGACACTTTCTGACATTTTCTTCTTTTTGTTTATTCCCTCTTTTTCCCCCTATTATTTTTTCTCTATAATTTTATTTCTAGATGACACTATTGGCATATTTTTCGAAGAAATTGTTTATTTAAAATTATATGTATTATTTTTAAACAATCAATGTGTTTTTGTAGTGGATTTTATGATTTTATTTAACTCTATTGCCAGGAATTCTGCTTTCCCTTGTCTTGTTTGTTCGTACGTTGAAAGGTTCATAGTCAAGTTACTAGCATGCTAAATAATCCATTTTGTTGCATCTTATTGTTATACATATATCTTTAGGTGAAATTATGTGCCAAATATTTTGAGCAGAATTGTTAGTACGGTGTTTTATGTCTTACTGTAGCTAGTTTGTGATTTGTTCTTATGATTGACATGGCATCTTTGGGATATTGCTTCTACTTTTCAGTTGGAGATTCCTAAGCAGTTACTTGATCCTAATGCCTTCAATGCTTGGATGATGCTTTTCTTAAATGTTTTGGAGAGGTCTGTTCCCGTGGAAGGCCAACCTGTAGATCCCGAGCTCAGGAAATCATGGGGGTGGTGGAAGGTGAAAAAATGGATTGTTCACATTTTAAATAGGCTATATACTAGGTAAGCATGAAAACTCGAACACAGTTTGGAGTTATTGTAGCCCTTGAGTTACCAAGCTAATTTGTGATTTTGGCGGCTATTTTATAGGTTTGGAGATTTAAAGCTTAGGAATCCAGAAAACAGGGCTTTTGCCCAAATGTTCCAAAAGAACTACGCAGGGAAAATTTTGGAATGCCACTTAAACTTATTGGGTGTCATTCATGTCGGTGGATATCTCCCTAACAGAGTTACCAACCTTATTCTTCAATATCTAAGCAACAGGTTTGCAATGTGTTTATGCATGAATCATGTCAGTAACTGGTGCTTTTGATTTTCTTAGTCAGCTTAGCTTAAGATGTTTAGTGAGAGGCGAGCTGCAATTACTTTGGGATAACTGGCCCATCCACTTTTTCTTGGCTAATAGTTAGCTGCTTTTAACTGAAAGATTATGTTTTGAATGTTTTCTTTCCATTGCTGCCTGTTACTTTCTATCTGTTGCTGATTGAGAAATGTGCTTGAGCTTCATGGTGGATTTTTGACTACCCGGAAGTGCTAATTGTATCATGTTAACACTTAACATAAACACTAACACATGAAAACAATGAATTTTTGCTGTTGCAATGCCAGTTCGAATAATTTCTTTCTGTTTAATTTAAACAAGCCAAGCCTGTCATGCTCATCACTACTTTGCCATATTTTAAGATGGTAGGGTTCCTTGGTCACATTAAAAACCGAGAAGAAAGAAAAGTCAAGTCTCACCTTGGGTTCCTCGGGAGCTTCACTCAAGGATGATTGTGTCTCACTACCACAAAAGTTTTAAGCTTAAATTTAAATGTATGGCTATACCCTTTATCGAAGGGTTCATTAATTCATATAGACCCTTAACAAGCTTTTCTTGACCAGAAACTAAAGAAAATGAAAAAGAAGAAAACAAACAAACTTGATTTGTAAACAAAATCTAATTGGGTAAGGAAAACAGCACTAAGATGATGAACCCTCAATAATTGTAAAATACTACATATAGCCCTACACCTATTACGTATTAAAATTAAGCTCCATAAAATTAACAATTGTATCAGAATAAAGTCTCAAGGATCTTATAATTAGCTTCGTAGCATTCCCCAACTCCTGTGTTTTCATATTGCAAATTGTTTTTAATTTAGAAACTGCTCAAGTAAATTGATACTATAATTAGCTTCTTAGCATTCCACATTGCCCGTGTTTTCATATTTCAATTTGTTTCTAATTTAGAAATGTTCCTAATGGATTCTGACAAAATTATCATTCGTATAAATGCAGCATATCAAAAAATAGCATGTACACTTTATTGCAACCACAACTTGATGTTCTTCTTTTTGAGATAGTCTTCCCTCTCATGTGCTTCAATGACAATGATCAGAAGCTTTGGGAGGAAGATCCACATGAGTATGTAAGGAAGGGCTATGGTAAGCTCCTAAACCTAGTGTGCTTGTTGCAAAACTTTGAATGGCCACATTGGTCATACATCCTATTTTTGCACTCCAGATATTATTGAAGATTTATATAGTCCAAGGACTGCTTCCATGGACTTTGTCAGCGAGTTAGTCAGAAAACGCGGTAAAGAGAATCTTCAAAAGTTTATTCAATTCATTGTGGAAATTTTCAAGAGGTATTATGTTACTTTTGAAGCATATATCGAAGAGATTGTTGGTATTCTTTGATGTTGACTTTTTTATGTTTTGTTGGTATATTCATGCCTTCCTTTTCTTGTTCCAGATATGATGAAGCACCGCTAGAATATAAGCCCTACCGACAGAAGGATGGTGCTCTACTTGCCGTTGGAGCGCTTTGTGATAAACTGAAACAAACTGAGCCCTATAAATCTGAATTGGAACATATGTTGATTCAACATGTTTTCCCAGAGTTCCGCAGTCCTGTTGGTCATCTTAGAGCCAAGGTTTGATTTCATTTTTTTTAATCTTGGGGGCTTCTTAATCTTCCCCTTTCAGCGTTTTCAAGATTTCACATACACATTTGCATTTGTGAGAATTTTCTTGGATTTATAACTTTTTTATTTTGTTATTAGGCGGCATGGGTAGCAGGACAATATGCCCATGTAAACTTCTCTGACAAGAATAATTTCCTCCAAGCACTTCATAGTGTTGTTTCTGGGCTGCGTGATCCAGAACTTCCTGTTCGAGTTGATTCAGTTTTTGCATTGAGATCATTTGTTGAAGCTTGCAAAGGTAGGTAGCTGATACTTTTGCTTTGAACTTTATTTTATATTTTATGTCAGTTGATTTTGGATTGAGCAAACTTGGGTTAAGTCACTGCACACAGGTTTGTTTAATTGGAGTGTTGACTGTGTAACTGAAAAGAAGTTATTTTATTTGCAGATTTAAATGATATTCGTCCTATTCTTCCTCAGCTACTTGATGGTAAGTGGTATTTAGTACTTGTAACATCTTATTAGCAGCTTTTATTATCTGATAGTCATCTCAACTTTAACTTGGCTCTTGGGAACACTGCTGTTGGCTTTTCTTCTTTTCTCAACTTTCGGATCGTGTATATGGTTATATTGAGCATTCACATAATACACGGTTACTTTGATCATCAACCGTCTTGGTGAATAGATTGCAACTTCATTTCTTCCAGAGATTTTTAAACTTATGAATGAGGTTGAGAACGAGGACCTTGTTTTTACCCTGGAGACTATAGTTGACAAGTTTGGGGAGGAGATGGCGCCTTACGCTCTTGGATTATGTCAGAATTTGGTAATGCATGTTTTCTTTATTTCTTTTAAATTACTGAGTTTTAATTGTCTAGTCCTGCAACTATAATGGTGTCTCTGCTTTTAGGCAGCTGCATTTTGGAGGTGTATGAACACGGCAGAAGCTGATGATGAAGTTGATGATCCTGGTGCTCTGGCTGCAGTTGGCTGTTTACGTGCCATAGGCACAATACTTGAATCGGTTAGCAGGCTTTCTCACCTGTTTGTTCAGGTTGAGCCTACTTTGCTTCCAATCATGCAAAGAATGTTGACAACCGATGGACAAGGTAAGTACAGATATCTCTCTTTTCTTCCCCTGTTTCAGCGAGTCTTTTTAATTTTTTTCTTAGTAGTATTACATACTGTTGCAACCAGAAATGAGTATGATGGTAAATGAGACTGGATTGAGAATCTTAAGTTGAGAAATGATATTTCAAGCTGCTATTGTTTAGATGCTGTTTTTTCATAAGATTTTCAAGTTATTAGCTTTATGGATATCGGTTGTGGACAAGTTGAAGAGAAATGGATGTTTTTGTTCTATCGCTATTGACATGTAATATTTAACTGTCTCTTGATATCACCAACTCTTTAATTATGTTTTTGACTTTTTAAAATTTTATATTGGATGAAAGAACAACTTGCTGACCCTAGCCAGTGCAAGTTGGTTTTAGAATTGCATTAGAGTATCACTAACCACTACAAATGTAGTTTGATCTTGAATGTGTTTGTGTATTATTAGATATTCTTCATAAATACATTATACTTTGCAAAAATAATAATAAAAATTGACTGAAAAGTTTTTAACTTTTTGACAAGTTAGTAGCAGGCGTGCTCAAAGTAAATCTAGTGTTGTAAAGATACCTTTAACCCTTTATCAGTAATCAGTATTGTTGAACTTGTAAGAACCAATTTCTTATAATGCTGAAGAAAATGTAAAAGTGAGTTGATAAAATATATTATCAAATAGTTTATTGGATTGGCTTTTATGAGATGGTATATGGTCTTATATCATTTTATAGGGTCATTACATTGAACTTCCTTTTATATTCTTCTGCAGAGGTTTTTGAAGAAGTCTTGGAGATCGTTTCATATATGACCTTCTTTTCTCCGACTATATCGTTGGATATGTGGAGCCTTTGGCCGTTGATGAGTGAAGCATTAGCTGATTGGGCAATAGACTTCTTTCCAAGTATGATTTGATTTGACTTTCCTTTTGCCTTAGTTCCTTCATTATTTTCATATCTGAATGTTTTGGGAATTTGTAACTAGACGTTATAGATTAACACTTCTTGGGAATTTCTGCTTTATGCTTGTTTGCCTAACATCGCATTGTCAACTAAATCAATTCTGTATATTTGTGTTGTTTCTAAGTGGCTGTTTCATGCACAGATATTTTGGTTCCTTTGGACAACTATGTATCTAGGGGAACTGCACATTTTCTTACTTGCAAGGAACCTGACTACCAGCAAAGTCTTTGGAATATGATTTCATCTGTGAGTGCATTTTTAGTTATAAAAAGATGCCTGTAGATGGAAAACTTTGGAATATGTCGATCTCCTCTGCCATGTAACACCAATGTCATTTACTTTTTCTTTTGCAGATTATGGCTGATAAAAATTTAGAGGACAATGATATTGAACCAGCCCCAAAGCTGATTGAAGTAGTGTTTCAAAACTGTAGAGGGCAGGTGGATCACTGGGTTGAGCCATATTTAAGAATCACACTTGATCGATTGCAACGAACGGAGAAATCACAGTTGAAATGTCTTCTTGTACAAGTGGTAAGGTGTTAAAGATCTGGTTGTATTCTTTTGCAACAAGTCATTCATGTGCTCATGTCATATATATTACGCATTTTCCTGTTGCTTTTCTTCAGTCAGAAATGCTTTGTATTCCTGGAAACGTTTTTGGTCTATGATTACCTAACACTGCACTTGTCTTCTTTAACCAGATTGCCAATGCAGTCTATTACAATGCACCTTTGACACTCAGCATATTGAATAAGTTTGCTGTTACAACAGAAGTGTTCAACCTTTGGTTCCAATTGTTGCAACAAGTCAGGAAGAGTGGTGTACGGGCCAATTTTAAGCGGTACGTAGTTTTGTATTTGCTTTGATCATTTTCAATGTCAGTCTGTGCTAGCCTTAAGCATTATATTATTTGTTTTACATTGAAGTTCACACGTCGGGTATTGTCTGGCTATACTTAACAAGTTATCTGGCTTCTACAGGGAACATGATAAGAAAGTGTGCATCTTGGGTCTTACGTCACTTCTTGCACTTCCCAGTGAACAGATAGCAGGGGAGGCTCTTGGGCGTGTATTCAGGACTTCCCTTGATCTCCTGGTTGCGTATAAGGATCAAATTGCAGGTTTCTATTTCTCCTATTTTTATCCTATTTTTATTTGTATTTCGAGAGAGGGTTGGGGGGTTGCTTTCTTTTTTGAGATTGTATCCTTTCATCTTTCTCTGTTATTTATTCCATGCATTATTTGTGCAAGAAGAAGCTGCAAAGGAAGAAGAGGCTGAAGATGATGATGACATGGATGGTTTCCAGACTGACGATGATGACGAGGATGGTTCTGACAGGGAAATGGGAGTCGATGCAGAGGATGAAAATGAAGCTGATAGCCTCAGACTTCAAAAAATAGCTGCCCAGGTATGCCTTGTTTTGATTCTTGAAGTCCTGAGATTATGCCCTTGGGGAAATGTCTTGCTACCATACATGAATGTTGCTACTGATGACTTGCTTGGAAAGGATTGCTAGAATCAATAACTTTCCAATCCTTCATTTCACTCTACCTGTCCTTATTTTCTCTGTAGGCTAAAGCTTTCCGTGCTGCTGCTGCTGATGAGGACGATGAGGACTCTGATGATGATTTTAGTGATGATGAAGAGATGCAGTCACCAATCGATGATGTTGACCCTTTTATTTTCTTTGTAGACATTGTCAAGGGTACATGTTTTTAGTCTTGTTTCCATACATCTGCTTTTGTCGATTTTGCCTCGGCATTATTTTAAATGAGGACCTTTTTCTTTCCTTTAGCTCTTCAAGCATCAGATCCTATGAAGTTTCAGAACCTTATGCAGACACTGGATTTCCATTATCAAGCTCTTGCAAATGGCGTTGCTCAACATGCTGAACAGCGGAAAGCTGAGATCGAAAAGGAGAACATGGAGAAGGCTTCTGCTGCAGCTGCTCCACCATCATGAGTTTGGCTTTGTCTTGAATTTTCGGTTCTCGCTACAAGTACATCGATAATCTCTTTTCATTTAGAAATGGTTTTATGAAACCGTGATTTGTTTCCAGTCCCAAAGTGATCAAGCACCGAAAGGCTTACGTCAAATCCATGGAGCTGTGTATAAAAGCTACTCGTTCATCCGCCGAACGCGGATTTACGAACTCTTAATTTTCCACTTTTATCAGGTTATGATTTTAGTCGAGTGATCTGGCAATTCTTTTGGCAGAAGATGCCCGGTCTCCGCTGGTTTGTGTTTGCTTCCCTTAGTCCTTCCATTCCTCATTTTATCTGCCATACTTTCACACTATTCGTAAAAATTTTGGTTGCCGATTTGTATGAATATGACGTCATATTTATTCTTTTTCATATTATGGGATTAATGGAGAGAAAAAAAAATCTTGGGATGATTGTTGGATACGATCTTTCCTTGGATAGTTTGTGTATCTCAATGTACTTTCGTATGAAGTTCCTGTATTGTATTGAGTCGGATATTTTTTTCTTAAATATGATTTTGCTTGATCCTTTTCATTTTAAACCCGTTTTAAAAAAAACTCGGGAATTAAAATTATCGAGTTTGGATTTCATGTTCATTGTTACTTACCATGATTGATTGATGATTAAGGTCGAAGTTTTTTTTTCTGAAAAAATAAGAAAGAAACTGACACTTTATCAGTCGGTTAACATGATTTTGTATATGTATGTGAAATAACGAAAGCCACGTTGTAATGACGAAAGCCACGTAAATGCCTTACCAATTGAAGAATCCCACTCCCCAACTACGTTTGTCTCTGCCCAACATCGGAAGGGACCGCCATTATTGCTCTTTATAACCAGATTCAAAGCTTTGGGTCTGCAACCGCAATTTACCAGAGAGAAAAGAACCCATCTTCAGCAAGCTCAATCATGGTTTCTGCCGACGAATACATAAAGATTGTAATACTTCCTTTCATGGGTCACGGCCATCTCATTCCATTTCTAGCTTTAGCAAAGGAAATCCATCACCAAACCGGCTTTAACGTCGCCATTGCCAATACTCCTCTCAACATCCAATACCTCCGTTCCACTCTCCGACATGACCCCAATCCCGGAATCCGCTTGTTCGAGCTTCGGTTCACCAGTTCAGATCACGGGTTGCCGCCCAACACGGAGAACACCGAGAACTTAACGTTGGATCTTATCAGTAAATTATTTTCTTCGTCTGTTTATTTGAGAACCCCGTTTCATAATGCTTTGTTGGAGATAGTTAAACAACAGGGCCGACCACCTGTCTGTGTTATTTCCGATGTGTTCTTCGGGTGGGCTGTTGATGTTGCGAACAGTGTGGGAACTGTAAACATTACGTTCTCGACTGGTGGTGGTTATGGGACTATGGCTTACGTTTCGTTGTGGTTGAATCTTCCTCATCGGAAAACAGATTCCGATGAGTTTAATGTGCCTGGATTCCCTGAAATATGTAAATTTCATGTTTCTCAACTCCATCGGTTTTTGAGGAATGCTGATGGGAATGATCTATGGTCCAGGTTCATGCAGCCACAGATTTCGGGATCTTTGAGGTCATTTGGGTGGTTGTGCAACACGGTGGAAGAGATTGAACCATTTGGATTAGATTTGCTGAGAAAATACATCAAGTCCCCTGTTTGGCCAATTGGTCCTCTTTTGCCCAAACCATGGGTAACTAAATCCTTGTCGTCGAATTGTGATAGTTTATATAGACAACTTGCAGGGAAAGAGCCTGAGATTTCACCTGAGAAGTGTCTTCAATGGCTTGATATGCATGGTCATGACTCAGTTCTTTACATTTCTATTGGTTCTCAAAACACCATTAGTCCATCACACATAATGGAACTGGCAATTGGGTTGGAAAACAGTGGGAAACCATTCATTTGGGTGATTAGGCCTCCACTCGGATTCGACTTAAAAGCGGAGTTTAGATCCGAATGGTTACCACAAGGGTTCGAAGATCGAATGAATAAGAGTAACAAAGGGTTGTTGGTGAAAAACTGGGCATCGCAATTGGAGATCTTGTCTCATAAATCGACCGGGGCGTTTTTAAGCCATTGCGGATGGAATTCAACGTTGGAAAGCTTGAGCCAAGGTGTGAAGATCATAGGGTGGCTGATGGTGGCCGAGCAGGCTTATAACTCGAAGATGTTGGTGGAGGAAATGGGTGTTGCGGTGGAGTTGACGAGAGGGATCCAGAGTTCCATTTCGAGTGAACATGTTAAGAAAGTGACGGAAATGGTGATGGATAAAGAAGGAAAAGGAGGGGATATGAAGAAAAAAGCTGAAGAAATTGCGGAACATATAAAGGCAGCTGTGAAAGATGAATTAGATGACAAAGGGTCTTCTATTAAAGCATTAGATGATTTTGTTTCTTCCATTAAAACAAGGAAACAAGATCTATATGTTGTTTCAGCCCGCAATGAATTATGAAAAACAGTCCTTTTATGTAAATGGATATCATTGTTGTTCTCAGAGATATTCATAGATCGAATCGAAATGATAATAGTACAGAGACTTTATGATAACTTTTATCAAGATGAATAGATCAAATTCAAACCAGAACCACCCAACTTCTGCTCGGTTATTGAATCCATACGAGCAGCCATGGCGGTGTCAAATGATTTTCCCAGTCCTTTACACTTTTCGGAAGAACGCATTGTTCTTCATCTCCAAGGACGTATTCTCTTCAAAATTTTCCATTTTTATTCACTTCCAGGTTTCTCAGATGATCGAAACTGCACATTCTCACAATCTTTTCAACCACTCCGTCTCGTTTCTCTTCAGAGGTGAATCCATAACCAATGAATCCGGCCAGTTTCGCGACGTAAAAAGCCGTGTCTTCCTTCATTTCTTCGTATTTCAAGAACAGTACTTTATCAGGCTGATCCAAGCTTGCTTTCCAGTACCCTAATACATGATCTCAGTAAGGTCCACAAAACGATTATCCATTGCAGAAGAGCTCCAAAGCTTTACCGAGTGGCACCTGTTCTATATCCTTGATATTGCCAGTTTGGCAAAGAAATAATACATGGAAACAAAGGTGTCTTTGGGGTCCCTGCAAATGTATACAATCTTACAACTCGAAGATGGATCCGATACAGATTTCGGCAAATAAGAGAAGGGGATATGAGTGGGGATTAGAGGGTTTTCGGGATCTTTGGTGATCAAATTGCGAAGCAAATCTTGCGGCGACTTGGAGAGTAAAGGGTTGCAGTGGTTGCACGTAGTTGTCCTCAACACGATGGCGAAAGTGAGGGTTTTCATCCAGGTTGTGCCAGTTTTCGGAGCAGTACATAGGAAGATATCGGATGAATTAGCCTGGAAGTGCCGTTGAGCCCTTAGTATTCCCTCCACAATAATGCCCGGGAACCAAAAACCTTGATACTTGACGAGTTCGTCATTGAATAAATTCAAGCCGGCCCGTACCGGAAGGTTTGATAGAATGTCTTCTCCATATGCACCATTGGAGCTTTGATTTCTCTTGGAATCTACGGATGACTCCATGGAAGGAAAGCAAACTGAGTCTCCAACAATGAATTTATAACTTCCTACTCTCTTTCTCTCTTATAATAGAATTTACAAGTTCTAGTTTCTTTATTAGCCGTACATGGAGCCTGTGGAGTTTTCAGAGTCCACGTTAACCCCTTGGTTGCCGTATAAATACTACACGAAAGTTCTGTTTCTCCAAATTGCCATGTCCATTGGTAAGGTTATTAAATTTGACTATAACACTGTTGCGGGTGGCGGGGACGCTTTGCTCAATTGGCAGTATTTGTGGATCTCAATAATCATCACAAGTTTTGGTATTGATGGATTTATGCAGAAGTTGGAGCATGAAGGACTGAACTAAATTTGCTTTAAATGTGGTGTTTATGGTCACTCCGAGTGATGCAGTGCCTCCTCTAATGCAGTTCATGAGGTGTCGGCATGGGACAGTCGTTTTGTAGATAATGCTACAATCACTAGTCTGCAGGGGGAGAAGGATGAAGATCTCTTTAGCTCATGGATGGTGGCAGTGAATCGACGACAGAGTGTTTGGACGGATGTTAACAGGATGAAAGAGGCTAGAGGGACAGGCATGGGAAAGCACGAATCAAGATTCTCTATTCTTCATGACCTTGTAGACGATTTCGTGGGGCCCTGCGAGGGAGCCTATTCTATTCTTCGCTTGTTTTAAAGTAGCCGTCGGTTGTAATTAATAGTTCTCCTTTATCGTGCTCCTATGCTAGATCGACCTCATCAGTTTTTTTTGGAGTTCTGTTTTGTAACTTCTCTTTTGATTTTGTTTTGTAACTTGTAATGTTCCGATTTAGTGTGACCATTCATATTACAAAAATTACAAATTTTTCTTTAATTTGAAGGTTGTGATATATCATTATTTCTTCACTAAACTTAATACATTGTGTTTTTTTTTACTGAACTGTCATTCTATCATTAAATAGTTAACACTGTTAAAAATGATTTCGTTTTAGAAAAATAAATTTTTCACCAAAAATGACGTTGTTTTGCATCTATATAACAATTCATTTTAACTCCATCAACCATTTAGCGTCTGAGTGATAAAAAAAATCTCAATGTATTAAGTTTAGTTAGAAAATTGAAAAGATTTAAAATATAATGAATAAAATAGAAGAAAGAATAAAGTTTAGTTACCATGTTTGTAATTTACCCCAAAAAATAAACACTAGCGCTCTGGAGCTGTATTAATAGGAGTATCTACAAAGATTAATTTAACTCAAGTAAAAAAGTTGCTTCCAAACTTTATAAAATACGTGGAATAAGATTCTTTGTTTTTTTCCCCTCTAGGGCTAGGGACCAGTATCATTAATTAAACATGTAGATATATGTATATTAATAACATAAATTTTTGAATAAAACAAATATAAATAAAATTTTAGAATAAATATCTTCAACAAAATAACAATTAATTAAAAAAAATTAAATTTTAAGATAAATACGTAGATACTCTGATTAAACTTTAGATTCACCATTGCATTTATTTTCGCAATGTGGCCATTGAGATTCCGGACACAATAGCATATCTACCTTTATTTTAGGCTAGACATTAAAATCCGAATTTCATTAATTGTTTATTTATTTTATTGATCGTGTCTATCTTTAGATTTTATTTGTGCTTATCTCATACAAAAAATTTATGTCATTAATGTATATATGTATACCTCTCTAGATTCACCACTACAACCTTATACTTTTAACCGATGCCAAGTCAATACTGAAATGGACGCCTTATCTTCACTAGCGAATCATCAAAGTTGTTAACCAGCTTAGAGGAGCCGACAATGAGTACGTCGAAGCCTCCAAGAAGTTGTCCGAGTAAAACCGTTTCCGACTGTAAACAATAATCGTCGACTATTGGTTCTTAATGGTTGTTGGAATGTAATTGTAAACTTATACAAGTTAAATGTTTTTAATCCTAAATAAATAAAAGTTTTTAAACTAATTATAGTTTTTTAATAAACAATATAATTTACTTATATTTTTATTAATTAAAACTAAATTAGAATAAAAGTCTAATTGTGAATAGGTCATCATAATTTCTAATATTTATTTAATAAAGACAAATATAATATTTATTATACAAATCCATATATTAATGCTTGTCAGTTATATTTTCTATTGTATATTAGCTATATATTGAATTTTTAAAACTTCTGTTGAATTAAAAATTCCTACTGTATGTATTTTTTCCTCGAACAATTGAACTGGGTAATTTTTCCAATTTGATTCCTAAATTTTTCTTCGTTTGCATTGTTTTTTAAACTTAGATTTTTGACTCAATTTCGGTCCTTCAGATAATTTCAGTTGGCAACGGCGTATAATCTCAAGTACCATATTATCAAAAGAATTAAAATGAGAAAATTGTCAAATTCATGGATTAATATAAACAAAAATAAAATTTAGCGACTGAATTAAAAAAGTACCAAATTCGGAGACTAAAAGTTACTTTGTCCCATTAAAATTTAAGAGTCGAACGAATAAAGAAGAAGAAGCGGCGGCGGTGGCAGCTGCTGCTTCATTTCAAGATGTCAACCGCGCTACTATAGTAAGTGAAGGAGGAGAAAATCAAGTAATTTTTTTAATTTAATTCTTTTTTTTAAAATGGAACTGTTTCATGTTTTCTGTTGTATTTTAATTTATCCGAATTCGATTTTGCGATTTATTTCTTTCCCATTTTTCGCTGATATTGTAATTTGTTTTTCCGTTAGACTAGCTTAGTTAAATGGAGGAATTGATTTTTTATACTGGTTCGTCATTTTTATATATTTCTAATCTGTCGCTAAATGTATTAAGCATCTGTTTGGTTCCGTGAAAAATGGAAGGAAAGTAGAGGAAATTGAAATTTTCTTGCTTTTAGATAAATGAAAGGAAAAAAAAAAAACTGGAAATAATGTGAAACGAAGAAAAGAAAATCGGAAGAAAGCTTTGCTTGTTCTACCTAGCGAGAAATACTAAAAATATTAATTGATTTGATTATTATTTTGTTTTGTTTTTCACCTTTTACCCCTATTTCCAAACAGCTAAAGGAAAGAAAATATTAAATTTCGCTTATGCGTATACGTGTATGTATGTGTCTCTTGTTCATGTTTCTTTGGTTAGGGGCTGTAATTGACCGGTCTGAGCTTGAACGATCTGAAGCACGAGCTCAAGTTCGACTCCAAGCTTGCTTGAAGCTTGGCTCAAACTCAACCGATCACAATTATCTAAGCTCGAGCTCTGTCCGATTAAGGCCATTTATATGCTCAAACTCGTGTTCAAGCTTATGCTCAAGCTCATTGCACGTGCTAATTTTATCGATTAGACATGGCTCTATTGAAAGCTCAACTTAAGCTTTTTCCAAATCAAACTTGAATAGCTTGGGAGCATAGTGTCTCATTTGCACTCCTACTTGTGGCTTTATCCAGTTAATTAGGTGTTTTTATAAGCATGAAATTGCAGGGTTTCATTTCAAATTACTGTGCTACTTTGTCCAGTAAATTTCAAGTTGATAAATAATCCCGGAGTTGTGAATCTTGTCTGTATTCTTACTAGTCTTCCAAAGTTTATGTTTATGATCTTGAGTACCATTATATGTTATTTCCCTATGTTACGCCAAATATATATTGTGCAGATGTTTGTAGACCGTTGTATGTTCTTGGCTATTCCGATAACTCGACAATTTCCAAATGCCTTAATAATACTAATTTGTTTACGAATTATGGTTGTTTCGTGTTTGTGTTTATGATTATTGGCCTATGAAAACTTGTTGGTTTGCAGTGGAAAAGGAGAACCTTACTGAACATATCATGATAACAGAAAGTTGTATCGAAGGTGAATCCAGTGTAAGTGAAGCTGACAAAAACAAAGAAGATAGACATTTAATCATAGAAAGTTGTTTCGATGGTGAATCCGGTGTTAGTGAAGTGAACAAAAACAAAGAAGAGAAGGTTTTAGTTACAGAAAGTTGTGCAGTACATGAATACGAGTCATGTGAACCCAACCTGAACCAAGAACCACATGTGGGTATGATATTTGTGTCCGCAGAAGCTGCAAAAGATTTCTATGATGAATATGCTAGACGTGTAGGTTTTCTGACACGAATTGTTTCGTCACATAAGTCCGAGATTGATGGATCGATCGTCCATCGCCGGCTTGCTTGTAACAAAGAAGGTTTTAATCAAAACAGGCAAAAGAGTACTCGTGCTCGGGTTCGAAAGCGACAGAGCAAACGAGAAGGATGCATGGCAAGGATGAACGTGAAGCAAGAAAAGTCAGGGAGATACGTCATCTCGAAATTTGTCAAGGAGCATAATCATCCTCTATTTGTTACCTCCTCAAAGGATCATGTAAGTGCCTTTCATTTTGTTTGAAAGAATTAGACTGATATTTCTTTGTGTCCTGCTTTTACTACTGAAAATGATACTTTATGTTATATGTTTTACAATCTGAGATCGTTACTTTTTACCCTTGCAATACGAAGCTCTGGGTTCTTTTGCTGGAGAGTTGGGAGATTGTGATGTTTCTCCGACTTCGTTTTTTCATGAAGTACATGTGTCTAGCTCGTATGTTCGATGCTTATCTGGATATGGTAAGGAGATGATCCTTCGAAGTCTCCGAATACATCGAAACTTGGAAAAAATTTGAAATTCACGTATTCGATGCATATATGAGTTCAACATTCACACCCAAGTTTCAGAGGAATATGGCTGATGAGAAAATGATACCATTGGACTGAAATCTGTGCAAAATGTGTTTATATGTTTGTATGTCTGTTCCAACGTTATGACTACATAAATCAAATCAACCATTCTGTTCTGGATGCAACAGGACGACAAAGATAAGAAAATCCAGGAACTATCATCAGAGTTGAATCAAGCAAATGAAGAATTAGTGCTCTGTAGGGAGCAATTATGTGCATTTATGGCCGCCATTGAGGAACACGCGGACCGGCTGTCAAAAACGGTCGAGGATGCCATTCGAAACATCAAAGAGGTTGAATCCAGAGATGATCAGAGTCATAATTTGTAGCATTCACGGCGTTCTACCCTTGATAAATCTATGAAAAGGGTTAGTTCATTCTCACAATTATGTTATTTCTGTTGTAGATTCCCAGAAAAGCTCATGCTTTGTTCCATCATCCTAGATTTTGTAAATTGGTTGTAGGCTTCTAATCTTAATGAACAATGAGAACTGTGTTACTTCGATTCGAGTGAGTTTCGAATATGATAATTTTACTTCTAATTTTCTCTATATATTTGATCTAATTATGAGAATAATTATCACACCCTTTTGACAAGGATTCCATGTAGGAAGCACGGTTTGACAGTTCGCTGGCATCATTCAGGATTAAAATGAAAGAAATAAGAATAATAAGCCAATAAAAAATTGTACAAATTTTATTCAAAAAGAAATAACGTGCGTGTCGAAGAAACATAATTACAGGAGCACGAATAATCAAATTTGAGTTCAAATTTCAAGTTTGGATCGAGTTTGAATTTATAAAACCCGAATAATAAAAGACAAATTAAAACATCGTTTTAATCTTTAATTAGATAATTTGATTGCATTTTTATTTAATCTCTAAATCCATTGTTTCTTTGACTCTATTTAAATCTATATTGACAAAACTTGAACCACATTTTCCCCAAACACGATAAAATACCTATGTAAACTAAATATCTCTTTTTAACAAATTTCATCTTTTTACAACTTAATTCATTTTGTGTTTTGTTCAATTTTAACCCTTCAATTGAACTTTGATATATTAAATGACAATACAAATCTTACTTACATACGCAATAAAGAATACATATATATATCGTTAGAGAAGGGTTTAAATTAGAATCAATCAATACTATAACATCACAATACAAACAATATCTATGATGCAAAGTTTAAGAAAATATAATTTCGAAGTAATGAAAAGAAGTGAAATTCTAAGTTTCCAAATAAGAAGTAATTCAGACAAATTCATAATACAAAGTAAAGTTTGTTCTTTAACCTTTCCTGGTAAAGTCTACTACAAGGTAATATAATTCATACAGAAACCTCTGATGAATCTTCAAGATCCCGTATCTGGGACATGCAACAATCATTGAAACCTGGGGGGAACAAACAAAAAAAATGCAGCATGTTGTTGTAATGAGAAAATTTGGAACTTTTTGCAAATTGTTAAAATGATCGAAAACCCGATTAGACGATAATGGCGGAAAAGGAATACAATGAGTTTAGATACGAGTATGTGTCCAACACAAGAGTTTTCATTTCCTCGTAAAATTTTCCATCTTTGGAGGGTTTAATCCGTGCGTTGTTCCGACTCTTCATTTTTTTTCTTTAAGTACCCTTTATCCGTATTAGATATATACCCGTATCCGACTCTCATGCATTTGAAGCAAATTTATTTTCCCTTTTTGGCAACAAACAAGATGAAATACATACCTTAATAAACTAGCATCTAATTTCCCCCATCTGCAGGACCACTCGAGTCGCCAGACTCCTGTTTCTCCCTCCAGATTGCATGCACCTCATCGGTCCGGAACCGCTGAGTGAATGTCGACTCCTCGAGTGGTGTTGTGGATCCATGAGCATAGGCAAGGAGACCCGTATACGCAATCATTGCTCCATTGTCAATGCAGTACCTGTCATCAGTAGCAAACAGTCTTCCACCTCGTTCGGAACACATTGTCCGCATCATCTCTTGTAACCGCTCGTTGCAGCCCACACCACCAACTATGAGAACATCTTTCGAGTCGCAATGAGCCATTGCTCGTTCCGTAATCTCCACAAGCATTGCAAATAGAGTTTCCTGCAACATTTTACAGTATAAGTTGAAAAAATTACATTAGGATGTTGACATAAAGATCCTTGGCCCCTAAACCTTTTCCGAATATACTTTCGAGTAAGGAACGCAAAAGGGTCCTCTAAGTAATTCACCTGAAGCGAATAGCATAAATCCGCAGGGGTGCATTCATTATTTTTGAGCTTCTCCTCTGCAGTGGCTTCAATGTAGCTCAATATTCCACTAAAGGAAACATCCATCCCTTTGACGACATACGGAAGATCAATAAACTTTTCGCCTTTCTTTGCTAGCTGGAAATAGAGAACATCATATCAAGAAGCTTGAATGCAAAAGCTCTCGGCGCATGAATTAGAACATGAAATTATGGGAGAAAATCTGTCCTAGAAAAGAAATAACAAACAATTCTTCCTAGAAAAGAAATAGCAAACAATTCTAGTAACATGGAAACAATGCAAACAGCCATATCGAAAAGAAACCTGAACACCTTGACTAAGTAACCTATGAAACTTGAAAAGTACAACATAACATCTTCAAGGTACCTGCTCGATGTTATATCCAGGGCTTGGATCATTTGAGAGGGTCAAAACTCGAGCGAACCGATCCAAGCAATTCCCAACAGCAATATCAATAGTCTCTCCAAATATTCTGTACCGCCCTTCACTATAGGCAATAACCTGAGTATTCCCACCACTAACATACAACACAACGGGATCGTCTGCTCCGGTAACGATCCTTCCCATCTCAATATGTGCAACACAGTGGTTAACCGCAACAATTGGCTTCTTCCACAGCAGCGAAAGAACCCTAACAACAATGGCGGACACTTGTAACGGTGCACCCATACCAGGACCCTTGGTGTAACAAAGGCAGTCGATGTCATCAGGGGTTATCTGGGCCTCTTTTAAAGCCGATTTAACCAGTGGGAGAACATGCTGGAGATGGTGCTGGGCAGTTTCCCGTGGAAGGAAACCTTGGCCAGGCGGCGTAATGTAGGTGTGACGCGGGTTCGACAAAATGGTGCCGTCTAATGTCACAACGCCAACACCAATCTTGTTGGCCGATCCTTCAAAACCGAGGGCTATCATCTTCTTCATTTTCACAGAAATGTAATGTGCCAAGTACCAAGCTTTAAAATAAAGAAAAAAATGACCTTTCTTAGCATATATGCACAACAAAAATTATACAAACTTCACTCATATAGATATACATGAAGAAATCCACAATTCCACATCAAAAGGCAAGTTATTCAAAAAGAAAACCCCCTTTATATACATATATATCAGTATTCAATCCATTATAGATGATATTTCGAACTCAATATTCTCCATTCACAATACCAAGATCCAAAGCCTCATCCCGCCGCATCAATAGTTGGTAAAAAAAACCTTTAACCTTAAATTTATAATATTTTGTTACATATTCCACCAAATAAACTATAAAAAATTCACTCATCTACATATATTTAAAGACTTCCAAATTCAGAAAACAGAATTAATCCACAATTCTACGTCCGGAAAGCAAGTTACTCCAGAAGGTATTAAGTTAAACTCTTTAAAATAACACTTTCATCCCTTAGATACTATAATTTTACTCAGAAACCACACCTTAAATTTCTCATCTTTTGCTTCAAATTCCATCTCTCTTGCCCAAAAAAAAAACCCCATCGAAAGAAACTTATTTAGGATTGTTTAAACTGTTTTTTTTTTCTTTTCAGAAACTACTTCACCCTATTTTGATTCGATAAATAAAGAGAAACATGAAAGTGAGCATACCTAAGATAAGTGAAGATATATGAGAACCTTAGCGGCCTTCAAAAATGGCGTTTGAAATGAGCAGCTGTGCCGTGGAGCGGGAAGCAACAACGGCTACTGACAGTGGAAACAGAGAGAGAGAAGATAGAAACAGAATAGGGTTCCTGCTTACTGTTGTTTCCTCAACGGTTTGCCTTCTTTATAAAAAATAACCATTTTAGAAATTATTATATGTGGAACGTGGATAGATAATTTCTTAAAAAAGTATTTTATTTTCTTTTTTTTTCAAAATCGATTTCGATTTTATCTATTTTTATAATACAATTATTATTTGTTCTTCTAATATATTTTTTCTTTTTAAGATTAAATTTATCATTGTCTTTCTAAATCAATACGACACGTTTAATAACTTCCGAGTTAGATATTGATTGGTGATCACGATCAATTGTATTCATATTAATTTGACAATAAATCATGATTAGTATATGAAATTTCGAAAATAAGAAAAAAAGTTTATAAAATAATTTAAACACTAAAAATGACATCCTAATGCGATTCTTTGTTTGTTGTTGTACAGAGGAGGCTTTTGCTTCAGAAAAAAGAAAGATGTTGCAGATATTGAGATTCGAACCGAGAGAACCGTTAAAAGGTAACTGCATGAACCAGACTAACCCGGGGTTCGATGCCGAATATCTTTGCCCCAAAAGACTGTACATCGACTGATCCTCTAGTTCTACAGGCTACAAATCATGTGGTTCAAATTCGGAAGCAGAATTATGCAAGGCATTCCAATGAATTGGTATGAACCCAAGGGTTGGCATCCAAGAAGCTGGCTAGATTCTAACGAAACACCGAGAACGGTATCAGGATGTGATTTTTCTATGCAAATCGAATCATATGAACACCGGTGTATGTGCCCAGCATAGTAATTCTATACCTGGATTTGGTCCTATGTGTCGACAACGTAGGGAAAGCTACATGGAAACTATACTCGGCTCTGCTGCTCGTTGTTTTCAAATTCCTGGACACTGTCAGCTATGTGTTGGATTTTCTTCGATAGACTCTCGTTGTACTCTTCGATTTGCTCGAAGATCAACTCTAGATGCCTTTTATATGTTGCAGCTCTTCTTTTCTCAATGGCTAGCAGCTGTGTTAATTCTCGGATTTTATGATGTTCATTCTGCCAAAAAAAAAAGGAATAAGAATATTAAAACAAGTTTCAGTACAGATAATGAATTACAATGTTGAAACTGATGACTTTACGGTAAGAGCATTTAATGGCAACTTGTACCGACGATGTTTAATCCAGAGGATCAGAGCCACATTTCAAAAGAAAAAACTGCATGCATGAGCTACAATGGCGGAATTGCTAAGACAAAAGTAATTTTTCCCGTATTTACCAACATAGAAATGACCACTTGGTCGATTAATGCCTACCGAGGCAATCCCGAACATTATTTTTTGTAGTAAATCTGAAAATGAGTTTTTCGGGGCTAAAAACCTGACACTGAAAAGAGCTGTGACAGGAAGTTCATAGGCGGACTAAATGACATGAAACATGAAACGGAATTCTCGGTAATGTCAAACAATTCCGATAAGATGACACTGTCTAAAACGTTATACTTTGAAAGCCCTTACGACTACAGCTCTAGTTAGGGCAAACTAGCTCCCATCCATCCAAATATATGAACAACGTACACACACACCAAAAAAAAAATCAGTTGTTTGTTTGAAGGCAAGTGCAGAAGGCAGATTAAATGACATGAAGCATGAAACAGCATTCACAGTAATGTACAATTCCGATAAGACGACACAGTCTAAAACGTTATCTTTGAAAGCACTTACGAACACAGCTCTAGTTAGGGCAAACTAGCTCCCATTCATCCAAATATATGACTAACAGCACACAAAAACAAAATATCTGTTGTTAGTTTGAAGGCAAGTGGAGAAGGCAGGCAGGTAGGCATGTTAATGACTTGATTTGAGTATACTAATTCTTACCTAACAGGCTAGAACTTTGAAAACCATATATTCCTATTCTTGCTCCAACTCTTCATTTTTTTTTAAGTATCCGTGTTCGAAATGGATATGGAGGGGTATGATTCTTAAAATCTATGGAGAACTTAAAAAAAATTAAAGCCTTCAATTTTCTACTAGCCCTTCTCCTATTTCACAAAAATCTCCATCTCCAACAAAAGAAGGTTCAATTTCCAATCAGCAAGAATGAACCGATATTGACAGTGAAAGAATATGTATATCTCAACAGACTACAGCTGAATTGTGATAACTGACCGGGTAGTGATCGTATATGCAATCACTTCGTCCTTTTCCAGGTGTTAGAGGATGTGTGTGCTCCTTCACAAATTTTGTGACAACCCATTTACCGGAACTTACTTTCCTCACCAAAATCATCGCCCTGCATCCTACCCTCGTCTCTGCTCTTTGCCTCATGATTTTTTCTCGCTTATCAGGCGTTCTGAAACCCTCTTTGTTACAAACAAGGGCCCTACCGATGGGAGATCCATCACGCCTTGAACGGGAAAGTTTGCTTACACGAATGATGAATCCTACCCTCGTGGCATATGCATTATAGAACACATGTGCAGCTGCCTCAGATTCAAACTCTTGACCCTCATAAGGCTCATCAGCCGGAGCAACCTCTGGGAAGTCTCCACTTTTTGGAGAAGTTAAATCCAACTTGTCATTCAGACCCGGTTGGAGAACTCCTTCAATGGGATTTTCACCTGTTCCATTTTCATTGTCCATGGTACTACTACACTCCACTCGGACCAAATTCAAGAGGATGCCACCATTAACATCACCATGAACCCCAAACTCCACTGCAAGAATAAATAATTTTTCTAATTATTTCCATCGAGGTCAAAAGTGGCTCAATGAATTCAACTTCATAGAACTAAATTCACCACATAGTATCATTGACATCACATTGCATCTCATGAACTTAACCGATATTTACTGAAAACCGAACGCAAATAAATTTCCTTAAAAAATGCTTTTAATGCAAACTTCATTGAATCTGGTTTCCAAGAAAGCTAAGTAAAATATGCAGGAAAACACATGATATTTCTAAATGTCAATTCTGAATCAGAAATTTCATGAAAATGAAAAGAAAAAAAGGAACATAAAACAAATATTTTAAAAGATAAGAGCCTTAATTTCATGAGTCCGACTTGAAGTCAACTCTTGAATTCAAGTTTTTCTCTTTCTTTCATTTTCCTCTTTTAACTTTCCTTCATTTTACTCGCAGCCAAACATATTCGAAAAAACTAAAATTGCCAGAACAAACAAAATGATATAAGACCTAATAAAAATTCAAAGTTCAAAAACTTCTCACCTGCACGCACATTTTCTCGGCAATCAAACAGAGAATAAATTAATAATTCAAACAAAAAAAAATACAATTAAATCCATCAATTGGCACTTTATAAGGAACAACTAATCAAAAAAATAATTCAAAGAAACTGAGATATATATATATATTAATTACAATTACTAAACATTAAAAACTAAAATTAAATTTAAATTAATGAAAAAAAACCTTACTCGAAAATTTAACGTTAATGGAGATGAAATTGTTGATGATCGATTAGGGTATGGGAGAAAGGCGAAACTTTCTGGGGGAGTGCGAGACCAGCTTTGGGGATTATAGGGACGCAAAAAGAACGTAACGTGGCGAGATTTGATTAGATTTGATATAGGATAAAGTAAAACGTTTCGTGTTAGCTAATGTAGAATCAACACGCGTTCGAACAAGGTAGCCTTTGACCTCGCTTGATCATCTCTTTGCGCTTGTTCGGGCAAAATCGCGTAAGACCCGGGTTTCCTTCCAAAATCGAAAACCCGGGTTGAGCTGTTTGTAAACGGTTCGGTACAATGTTTGACGAGTTATTCATGATTGACGAGTTATTCATGAATTACTTATATAACCTCCGTTTGTTAAGTTAGAAATATGAATATATACAAAATTTTTATATTTATTAAATAAACAAATAAATATAAAAAATGTATTAAATTGTTTATATTCACCAACAAATTCATTTGAAATTTATTATCGACTTATTTATAAACACGTATATATTCTTAATTATGTTTAAATACCTACTTTTTCAAAAGAGAAAAACTAGATTATAAGCCCACAAACAGGTTTCCTACGTATTATTCCAGTGGAAAAGAACATGGAAACAACAAAAACTCGGCAGAGCTTCCATGGCTGCCCATACATACATTACCAAGAACACAAACACACACCCACATACATGCACGCATGCATATATATTGATGTTCATCAAAATCAATATTTTGTTCTTCCATCACCCTCTGTGATCACATCTTTGAAAGCCCCTCCGCTTGGGATCATAGGCAAAACATGTTCTTGATGGGGAACGATTACATCTAACAAGTAAGGTCCGGGTGTTTCCAGCATTTTTTGGATGGCGGCTCGGAGATATTCCTTCTTCGTCACACGAGCAGCGGGTATTCCGCATGCTTCTGCGAATTTCAACATGTTCGGGAATATCTCGGACTCGCTCGATGGGTTGCCCAAATACGTATGAGCTCTGTTGGCCTTGTAAAACCGATCCTCCCATTGGACAACCATGCCCAGATGCTGATTATTTAACAACAATATCTTGATGGGAAGTTTCTCCACGCTGATCGTCGCCAACTCCTGGACGTTCATCATGAAACTTCCGTCACCGTCGATGTCTACAACAACTGCCCCGGGATTTGCAACAGCAGCTCCGATGGCAGCAGGCAATCCAAATCCCATTGCTCCCAATCCCCCTGATGTCAACCATTGGCGTGGCTTCTTGTACTTGTAGAACTGAGCAGCCCACATCTGATGCTGGCCAACACCGGTACTTATTATCGCATTCCCATCGGTTAATTCGTCGAGAAGCTGAATCGCATATTGAGGTGGAATCGCTTCCTCAAAGGTCTTATAATTCAAAGGGTATTTCACCTTCTGCTCATTTAACTCCTCCCTCCAAGCCGAATAATTGAGTTTAAGCTTAGCTCCCTTATTCTCCATTATCCTATTAATCCCCTTCAACGCCAATTTGACATCCGAACAAATCGACACATGAGGCTGCTTATTCTTCCCGATTTCAGCCGAATCAATATCGATATGCACGATCTTGGCCCGGCTGGCAAAAGCCTCGAGTTTTCCAGTCACACGATCATCAAACCGCACACCAAAAGCAAGCAACAAATCACTCTTATCAACAGCGTAATTAGCATACACGGTTCCATGCATCCCGAGCATTTGTAATGACAACGGATCCGAGTTAGGAAACGAGCCGAGACCCATTAAAGTGCTCGCGACCGGTATCCCGGTAAGCTCGGCAAATCTCTTCAACTCCTCACTGGAGTTTAAACACCCACCACCAACATACAACACAGGCTTCTTGGATTCCGAAATCAATCTCACAATCAGCTCCAAATGAGCCTCACTGGGATCCTTAGGCAATCTGGACATATAACCAGGCAATCGGAGCGGCTGATTCCACTTAGGAACAGCAAGTTGCTGTTGTATATCCTTCGGTATATCGATCAAAACAGGGCCTTGTCTGCCGGAGGTAGCTAAAAAGAAAGCTTCACTAACAATCCTAGGGATATCATCAACATCAAGCACAAGATAATTATGCTTTGTAATAGATCTTGATACTTCAACAATCGGAGTCTCTTGAAAAGCATCGGTTCCAATCATTCTCCGAGGGACTTGACCGGTGATCGCCACTACAGGGATACTATCCAGCATCGCATCGGCGAGACCGCTCACCAAGTTAGTTGCCCCCGGACCGGAAGTTGCAATACAAACGCCGGGAAGGCCGGAGGACCTCGCGTATCCCTCCGCCGCGAAAATCCCTCCTTGCTCGTGTCTTGGGAGGACATTTCGGATCACTTTGGATCGAGTTAAAGCCTGGTGGATCTCCATTGACGCTCCACCTGGGTAAGCAAACACGACCTTGACCCCTTGACGTTCGAGGGCTTCCACGAGGATATCAGCGCCCTTTCGCGGTTCATCAGGGGCATAACGCGAAACGAAATCATGGGAAGAGGATGTAGTTGGGGTGACGGAGGAGGAGGCGGAATTTGATTGTGAAAGAGAGCTGGAAACGGTGAGGGAACGTGAAGGCGTGAGCTTTCGAGGGATTTTTGAAAAGGGAAGGACGGATTTAGAACTGGGTACCGAAGATTTGAAGGAGTAAGACAAAGGAGAAGGCTTGGGTCGTATGATGTTTGCAGTAGCCGCCGCCATCGTTGTCGATCAGAGCTTGGCGAGCTAGAGAAATGGAAACTAGGGACCAATAATACATTTTAGATGTGTGTCTACGGCCGGGCCGGGCTTGTGGCCCTAAATTCATTCTTATATTCTTGATTAAAGTATGATATTATCAATTATCAATTGGTCTAATTAGATTTCTTAAATAAAATCAAGGCATGACGTTTACGAATAGAATAAATTGAGTTGAATGGTCATCCTTGTCTATACAATATTTAATCTAGATTAATTAGTTAATAAATTAAATACCAATGATTAATTTCAAAAAAATATAATTTAGATTCACTAATTTTATAATATCATATCAAACCAAGATTTATTAAATTCGAATCAAATATATATATCATCAACTATATAAGGAATCAAGGTCAACACTCACCTACTCCTCTTGCAACTTGTAATATTTAAACCAAAAATTTCACATCATCCTCTATTTATTTTTTTTAGAAAAAAATGTTTACAATAATGCATATACCACCTGTGATTTTCCTTTTTAAATCATGCAAATACAAGAAATCGTAGATTGAACAATCAGACACCAATCAAAACCTAACAAGTTCCAAGTTATGAGATTTATTTTAAACTCAACCATCACCATGGACCATACTATGCCTTCTAGTACTGATTTTTCAAATGGCTGCATTACATTATTTTAACTTACATCATTGTCGTTAGAATCTTTTCCAAAAGTGAAATTGCATGCTATCAGAGTCATCTGGGTTTTATACATTTCCAATGAACAAGATAGCTGCACATTCAAGAGCTTATATCTTCACAGGGCTCACCACATTCAATGCATTCTGGGTAGAATTTATCTTCTTCATAAATTCTAGAGGGTGTGGATGATCCACTTGTTTGTGGATGCTCCCGGTTTTGATGAATAGACATTCTCCGAGGACACAATTCACATCATCTACTTGAACACACCAACGATGGATTCGATATATTTCTTATCGTTGATCGAATGAGATCCGGAACAAGCTTTATGAAGAACGAAATCACGTTGTGAACAATAGTAAAAAATAGATCCGATATCAGAAGCATACACTCATCCACCTTGTATACTATCAAAAACTTAACAAGAGAATTTGTACATGAAAACATAGTTTGGATAATAAAACACAACAATCATTACAAGTAAAATGCAACAACACATCCGTCATCCATATCTGAATTACAAGTCAAATTGTTACCATGAACATTCAAAATAACTTCAAGAACAAAAGTGAGAAGATTCTCACGTTCTTCTACTTCAATGATACTCTCGAGTTTGACAAATGGATATTTTCCAAGAACACATTTGACATGAGCAGAAGTATTGCACCTTGTTCAATGATAAAACCAAAGATTTGGTTCTCAGCTTCCTTCACAAGTAACACAGAAATGACTTTCCGGATAACTACTATTATCGTGATCAACGAACGAAAGAAGATGCTCATCGCACTTGTTTTGAACTGTAATAGACAGTGAAAAACACTTGTGATCTAAAGCAATATTACAATCCTTGCAACGAAATGTCCCTTCTTCTTCATCACCACAAGCATTGCACTGCCCTATATAGTCGATATAGAAACGAAAGGGTGTTTATGTCCTAGACATGTACGATCACGGGTGTAAGAACAAGAACACATCGAAGGAATATAGATACCACATTCTTCACATTTATAAGCGAAGGCATTAGAATTTTGATCACACGTTACACGCTCAAAGTATTCGTTCAAAGTAAGGACTAATAGTTGTTGGCAATGAGGAATACCAAAGATGCTTTACCTTTGGTAACTCGGTACAGACCTTATGAAGAAAGAAATCACAATGTGAACAGTAATAAAATGAAGCCGAGATCGGTAACAAGCACCCATCACAACATATATTATCATATTCACTCGCTGTCACTCAACTTTAAAGAATGAATATGCTTGACATGTTGTACTTCTATAGCCCCTCCCGCATCATCCCATTCAAGAATAATTATGGAGTTAACGGATATATCAAGAGGTTCCTCTTCTTCATTTTCTATTATAGAATATGAATCTCCTTATTTCCTTACACAATTCACAAGGAAAAATATCATTGCATTTTGAACACGAATGACTACCGTGCTCTGTATTGACCTCCTTGTGGCATATTATGCAATCCAAAATTTTCATATTTTCTCTGTGAAAAGATTGTGTGAAAAAGACGATTATCATGCCATTTGCTTTTGATGATACGGGGCAATAATATGCATTCTTTATGGACTACAAACAAATTATAGTTTGAATAATCAAAACATAATCAAATGTTCACACATTACAACTCCAAACATGGTGGCCTTGCATTTAAACTACAAATACAAAAACATAGTTTAGATAATAAAACACAACAGACGTTACAAGTACCAAGATCTGTTTTTCATCCAAAGAGAAGAGGTAGTTTCCACGTATACAGAAACCAACAGAACCTTGTTATCATGCACTTTCAGCATGAATAAATAGTTGCATACGGACTCAGTACATTCGGCAGCCAAATCTACACAGGGTTCACTACAGTCACTGCAATTCGGATAGTAATAGATCTTTTTAACAAAAGTGAGAGGATGCTCATGTAACTCTTCCATTTCAAAGTTACTCCCGAGTTTAACGAATGGACCTTCTCCAAAAACACATTTGACGTGAGCAGAAGTATTACACCTTGCACACTGATAAAACCAGAGATTTGGATCTCAGCTTTCTTCACACATGTCACATAAATGACTTTCTGAATAATCATTATCATCGTGATCAGTGAGTGAAAGAAAATGGTCATCGCATTTGTGCCGGATTGTAATAGGAAGTGAAAAACACTTGTGATCTAAAATATCACAATCCTTGCAACTTTTACATCATCAACACCACAAGCAGTGCATTGCCCTTCATAGTCGGTATAGAAACGAAGGGGGTGTTTATGTCCCTGATATGTTCAAGCACCTGGTGTAAGGGCAAGAACACATCGAAGGCATGTATAAACACCACATACTTCACATTTATAGACAAAGGCATTAGACGCATGATCACATTTTACACATTCAAACCATTCATTAGAGGTAAGGACTAGTGGCTTTTGGCAAAGATGGTGCCAAACATGCTTTATCTATGGTAACTCAGCACAGAATTTATGAAGATAGAAGTTACACTGTGAACAGCAGTAAAATGAAGTCGAGATCGGTAACAAACACCCATCACAACATTTATTATCATATTCGCTTACCCTGTCATTTAAGGTTAAGGAGTGAATATGTTTGAAATGTTGTACTACATGGCCTCTTCGGCATCATTCCATTCAAGAACAATTATAGAGTTCACGGATATATCAAGAGGTTCCTCTTCTTCATTTTTTACTATAGAATACAATTCTTCATCTTTCAATGCACAATTCACATGGAGGATACCATTGCATTTTGAACAAGAATAGCTACAGTGCTCTGCATTGACTTCCTCATGGCAAATTATCAATCTAAAATTCTCATATCTTCTCTGTGACGAAAATATGTGTGAAAAAGATGATGATCGTGCCACTTGCTTTCGATGACAAGTGGCAATGAGATGCATTCATTGTGGACTATAATGTCACAAGCATCACGCGTATAGGCAACATGAATTCCACTAGTGCCACACGCATCACAAATGAATGGACTTTGTCTCCAGAACAAGGTGAAAGGGTGTGGATGGTTTTTATATTCAATATTGTGCGACGGTGATAAACATTCAATATGAACAAAAAGGCCACAAGTTGAACAACATAAATAAATCCTCTTTCTTGGCCTATTCCACATATCGTGCATAAGAATTGTTTGTTACCAAATTGTAAAATAAGAGGATGTTTACAATGACACTTATGATTCAGTTTGAGAGGACGCTCCACACCTCTTATGTAGTTTAAATCCACAATAAGGAGAAAAGAATGTATATTTTGCCAATGGTTCTTGACATGCAAGGCACTTTTTTTCGGTCGAAATCAGTGCATCTACGAGGGGAACATGCTCAAGCTCTTTCAAGTTATTTCTAACAATATTAAATGTAAACAAAGCACATTTATTATGAAAATCCAAACCGCTAGAGCAATGATAATAGAAACCCCTACCAAATTTATCACAAAATTTGCAAAGAGGGGTACTACTATATGCATCGTTTTCCATAAGAAGAAGAGGATGGTGAGGATGTAAAGGGTTATAGAGTTCTGAAGGTGCGCACATACCTTGTGAAGATAAAACTCACAGCGCTCCGCACAGCTTAAACATGGGGCTGCAAGCTCAAAATAGACATCCGGAGGGTCATCACTTTCAGCTAAGAGCGTCTCCCCACATCTCCCGCAAAAAAATGACCTTGTAGGTTCATGGCTGAGGATGTAGACTTGTTTCATTGGTACCAAAGGATGTTGGTGGCCATAGCTGTTTGAGTACTTCATTTCTCCTGCCTTTCTGTCTTTCCAAGCAGCAGAAGAAAACAAAGCAAGGCAGCTATAATCGAGGATTTAGAGCACAACAAGGACACTAAAGATGATTTGGGTGTTGAGAGAAACCGGGGAAGGTGAGGTTTCCTGAGCTACAAGCCCACCTACTGCTCCTGCAACTTTTAATATTTGAGGCGAAGACTTCACCTACTGCTCTTGCAACTAGTGATATTTACACCAAAAACCTTCTCACCATCCTCTGTTTTATGAAACTTCTAACATTAAATTTGACAAAATGTAACATAAGACATCCATGTGTCAAGTATTATGTATTGAGTCAAGTTTCGCGTGCTAACGATAAATTTGACCCAATGCAACCCAAAATATTCATATAATTAATTTCATGTTGTTAATACTCTAGTGAGATGATGATGGTGGTCTTAGTTGGTTCATTTTTTTTTTGGGATTAGACGTAGAATCGGAGTTGGTGGTGGTACAAAGAAAGGAGGAGAAAAAAATTAAAAGAATCGATGAACAGTGGGTATGGGGGTTCACGATCATCTCTTGCAATTCTGCTTCGTGCGAGTATATGTCTCTGACTCGAGATAGTAGGGTGACTAGTATCAGTCCTAAGGTTGATAGCTACTGATGGGTTGGTAAGTGAGTAAATTTGATTGTAAAATGATGGATTTAGTGGTCATAAGACTGACAATGATCATGTCAAGGACTGTAGTCAAATGGAAAGAATAACAGAATACCTCCCAGTAAATCATGAAATATCTTAGAGAAAATTTTGGAGGCCTGGGTTTCCTCGAACAGAGGAGTGACAGCAAAAGTGTAATTTGCGGAGGATATACAACAAATGCCATTACATTACTCCGATCCTGCCCCGAGATTTGGGATGCAAACCCGCAACGAACCCACTCGACCCAACATATTTCTTTTTATCTTTCTATTAATTTTGTCCCTAAACATCCCTAACAACCTTTCGCCGTTATGAGAGGGAGGAGATAGAAGCCAACTACCGAAAGCCAAGGCAGTTGTACCTGGAGTCAACATGTGCGCCTCAGGTGAGAACATGCCGCGACAGCACCCAGACAGAAGCACCAAATCCTCTACGGAAATCAAACACTAGCATCATCGGCGAGGAACCTCAACCATTAAGAGCAACCATCAGAAAGCAGAACCGAGGAGCTAATTCAAAGTCATCAAAGGTCCAACAATTCTATTACCGGCGAGACCCTGAAGTGGAGAAGACTCCAAATCAACCAGAATTTTAGTTCAGAAAAGTAGGCATGTGCCAACTATTTCATCCTTTATTTTTCTTGAAATACATATCTCCGTATTCAGACATGGTTATAGATACATAAACCTCCGAGAACTCTCTTAAATATATCGAAAACTTTCAATATCCGCATTGGACATCCATTCAGAGTCGGAATCACATAGACTCGGTGAAAGGGGAATGAAAAGGCCTATATTGAAAGCACTGGAATTCAATCCTTTTTACATGTCCTATGGTAGATGGTGTTTAACAATCTGAAAGGAGAAAGTAATAAATAAATCATGATTTCTCACCCTGGACATGTTTTCCGATGCCCTTATTCTCGATAATTTCCCTTCCGCCAAAGCTAGTTGTAAGATCGTTCCCCATTTTGGAGCTCCCAGCCATACTTGCTCGATTGATGTTGTTGGAACCAGCTTCCTCATCGAAATGCTTGCTTCTTTCGGCAACCTCATCTCGGCTTTGATCGTCGTCCTTGTCACCACTATTGAAAGATGAACCAGAAACATACAAGACAATATGCATCAACATTCTCGTGATACATAAATGAATTTCTGGACAAATACGAAGAAACAGATGACAAATCATATACTAGAAATAGACACGAAGAGATCAATGATGATTTAGAAACCTGTGCAAGAAAAAAACACAACCGAATTCGCCTCTGAATGCTTTAGGGAGCTAAGCTTGCCTTGGACGAAAAGTTGGAAAACGAAGAGTTTGGATTGCAAATTACTTACCCTGAATAAATGATAAGTCCAACCATTACTGCAAAAAACGCTAAAAAGTACATCCAATCAACCTTCTCGTGGTAAGCAAAAATTCGGATTACGACAGCCCACATATCCGAGGTAAGCAATGAGAGATTGAGCATTGTGGATCCAGTCATCTGCCATGGAAGAAAACCAAAATCCAAAAGATTGTTCAGAAATATTAGATTGAAAATGTTCATAGGATTCTAATGCAGTCCAACTTTTACAGTTCCAAAAATAGGAAGATGAAATCCTAAATCGTATGCTCATACCTTGAGTAACACCGGTACAAACGAGTAGAATAGAAACATAGCCAATGAAAACCCGAAAAACGGAAATGCCTGAAAAGCAAAAAGAATTGTTAACGTGCATTAAGAAAACAAACACTCAAGCTTATATGCACATCAAAACTAAAAGGACAACAAGTTTATTGAAGAAACTTACAGCACCAGATGTCCAATGAATAGATTTGAGTTCATTGCGTTCGACTATGCTTCTATAGAACGTCATTAAGGGTAACGGGTCGACAATAAAATTAATGCAACAGAATACGTAACCAGCTATCTAGCAGTTTTCATACATTCTGCAGATGGTAGCATGTTACTGACACATCATAACCTTGAAAACATAGAAATTTCATAAAACTACAATCTGATAATGGTTAGGAATCATTGAATTAAACGCAATCAAACCCGGACACCAAGGATACATTTGGATTGCACTGATAATGGCACCGAAGAGGCCCAAAAATGACATAAGTTCAACTCTATCAGCATTCTTAACTAGAAACTCCTGCCAAGGAAGCAATTCATCGCAAGACCATCAGTGAGGTTGGTGACATTACAATAACAATAAGAGAGTGAACCATTTCAAATTTCATGAACCGATCAAGATATATTACCTCGCTGACGTTACTAATAGCATAGAGTGTTGCCCCAGCAATAACGAGTAAATCTCCTTTACGAGGGTTGCTTCCTCCTACAACTCACAAAATCATAATAAGCCCCGTGTGATCCCATTATGTCTTAAAATAAATTAAAATAGATGACCATATGTAATTTATAGTTATGAAGATCAGCCAAAATGTTACTGTTAAGGATCAACAGGAGGACCAATTCCACTACTATATCACTAATATTTAGATTACAAAGTATATGGAAAATGCAGCAAATGCCAAAGCTACCTGATCGATCGCCTGCGTGAACATCGGAAAACACGACCATGACAAGACCAGCAACACAAACAATAACGCCAGCAACCTTTCTGAATCGGTACTTTGTTTTCAAGAAAATATAGGTCAGAAGCATGACAGATGGGATAGACCAACAATCCAACAGCATGACACTCGTTATAGGTGTGTACTGATACGCCTTCACAACTGCATGTGAAGCAACAGTCAATTAACAAGAGACGGAAAAGATATAACACTCAAAGTCTGCATTTTATCGTAAGCTTAGTCTAAAAATGATAATTAGAAGAAAAAAAATTGAAGCATGTTATAACTAATAACAAGTCGGCCAAGTTCATTGGAAGAACATGATCTGCTTACCTAGATAGTTGGCTTCTACATCTACCAATCCAAGAACAACATAATAATACCAATTTGCCTGCAAAAAGTCCGAATAAGAAGAAAAATTTAAGGTACCGAAATTGAAAGAGAGGGAAAAGAGATCCATAACAGTGTATCAATAAAACAAAACCTTCCCCAAGCCAATCCGAACCTGTTTCTTTACAAATTCAAATAATAGCAAAGGGCAACCGAGAAAAGGAAATTTTAAGCCTATAACAGTCATTTATATTCATCCATCTGGGAAATAATAAGCGAAACCAGATTCACTTGCTGAGACATGTAGCTCAATCCATCATATATCTTAAAACCTTTTAACTGCTACCTTATAAGTCACGCTCTTTGCACTTGTATCATTTTGTTTATATACAAACCCTTTAACGGTAAAGTGAGACACGCAATCAAATGAAATTGGAAAGAAAAAAACTCAAAATTGATACGAGAAGAAGATATGTCAAAGCAAAGAAATACCTTCAGGGCTTGCCTTCTGTAAAGCATGACACCTCCATAGACAACAGCCAAGAGCACATAATTTAGAAAAGACTGAGATGTTGGTGCATTGATTCCTAACATACACAATAAAACAGAGAAACAAATGAACTATAGTCCGATGTCACTAAACAAATGCAAAATTATCTTCATATGAATAACCGATCGATGCTACATAATTCAAACACCATGTCAATACATTATTCTTTTCTTTCTGTGATTTATAGTTTGAACTTTGGCAATCTAGTATAACATAGAACAAGCAGTAGCAAGTGCAGATAGACACCAAGTCCGACTACATAGGTTGTCAAAGCACAGAATCCAAAACTTAAGAGTACCTTTGAGTACAACAAGGAGAAAATTCAGAAACTAAATACTTGAATTAGAACAAGAAATATAGTTAATCAAACCAAAAAGTTCACTATTTTTAAACCTAATATTATGAACAAACAACAGCAAAAAATATTCAAAAACTTTAGAAGACCATTTTTTGTAGTCAATTAGCACAAAAAACATATCTACAAGTTCAAGACTGAAAAACCAATCAAATCAAACATTGAATTAAAGCTAGGAATCAAATGAAACTAATTGAATTATATTTCTATTCCAATCTTAACCAAATTTTCATCAAAGGGTATATTTCAATATCATCATCATGGACAAAACATAAAACAAAAATAAAAAAAGCAACCTATTTTAGCAAGTTCAGAGGAAGAGAAGCCAGTAGAAGTAATAAGAAGGGAAAGAAACTGCCCCAATCCAAGTCCAACCAACGTTCTCTTCGTCCAAAAATGCTTAAAAATCATCATCTTTTTTCTCTCTAACAATTCTCAATCCCAAAAAAATGGTGGGAAAAAAGGGTTGTTGATAAAAACCCAGTGAAGGAAAACCAAAATACTCTAAGTCCCAGTCTCAGAAACTCCTTTAAAAGCCTTCAAAGGCACTCAAGAGTCCAAATTATCAGTGTAGGTGATGAAATGACTCTGATGGAATTTGAAAGTGAAAGGCAGAATTTTTCTTTTTCAAAATTTGATGTGAAATCAAATAGCATTGAACCAATGGCTCTTTTGAGTTCCCAAATTCTTCAGGAAGACTAACTACTCCCGCCGCTAAAATTACTACTAAAAGCAAAAAAAATTATTTTCTTAAAAGGAAGTTGAAAACTTTGACCTAGAAGGCAATATAACTCATTGAATTTGGCCATTTTCTTTTGTTTTCTATAATCTAATTTTGTATTGATTCTAAAGATAAAAACAACAATAATTGTAGAGCTTTTATTATAAAAATATAAATTTTTATTTAACAATAAATAGTCAAATTGTACTTTTCCACCTTCAAATGGTAAAGGCTCATGATGGCCATGGATTGTGGGTTCCCTTCCCTTTACACTTTTTTGAAGGATTTCCTTTCTTTATCCTCTTTTTCATTGTTTATAGACTCTTTGCTATCTAATAATCACATTGATTTTTATTGTATTTTTTAATAATTTTAGAATGATTATAATATAATATTTATTCATAATTTTTTAATTAATTGATAATGTACATAAATTTTAAATATAACTAGTCGAATTAAGATCTCTATGAAAAAGAAAATTTTGAGAAATATGAAATTACAAGATTTATATAAAAGATATAAATTGTTAAGAAGTTATATTAAAATTTTAAAAAATATAAAATTACAAAATTTTTAAGAAGTATAAAATTTGATTATTAATAAAAAAATATCAAAAAAATATCTTTTTTATACTAGAATTTTTTTGCTTATATTATAAATAAGTACCTACAATATATTCTTTTTTCATCTAAGTACTTAAAGTATTTTTTGGTTAAAATAAGTACCTAAATTTATCTTTTTGATCAAAATAGGTACAACAACAACAACAACAAAACCCTATTCCCATGTGCAATGGGGTAATAGAGAGGTAGGGTAGTAGGATGCCCCCAATGCCAAGATTGAGAGCAGCTTCCGTGGAAGACCTCCGGCAGTAAGAAAATCAAAGATAAAGATTAGATGTAATGCATGTATAAGTAAATAAATACATAGTTGAACAATGTTCATGTGCAGACTTCATATGCGCGTCTGTAATGGAAAGTAATCCCTGTAAATAAATTACTGCGTAAAAATCTCTGCATATAGACAGAAACATAAGACACGACTAAATTTAAAAAGAAAAAACCAGAAGAGAATGCAAGCTACGAGAAGAAATAAAGTCAAATTGGTTAAAACCTAAACTAAGGCAACACTACTCTGTTACCCTAGTTCTAAGTATTTGATCAAAATAGGTACCTAAAGTATTTAATTTTTTTTATCTAAGTTATAAAAAATTGACATCTAATATTAATTAAAGAATACTTTAGGAATCTATTTTGACCAAAAATAATTTAAGTACATATTTTGACCAAGAAGAAAAGTTTAGATACTCATTTTGATCAAAAAAATACTTTAGGTACCTAAATGAAAAATGTGATATACTTCAAGTACTTATTTGTGATATAAGCCTTTCTTTAAAATTTGATTGCTTCCGACACCATTCGATCTATCTCTGACTACACTAAATCTTGAAATAAATAAAATTAACTTAATACTATTTTTTATTTATAGAATTAAATTTAAATATTAAATTTAAATAACATCTAACTCCTTTTGAGATTAAATATTTTCAATAGACACTGATATTGATTTTGATTTTTAAAAGTGTAAAAGATATCTGAATAAATAAGACGACTTCAAGTTTGTTAATAAAATTTATTTATTTTTCAGGATAACGGTGTGTGATCGATTAATTTATATATAAAATAAAATATTAATAATTTAATTAATAAAATTTATTTATTAAAATTTGACATGTGATCAAAACGAAACTTATGGAAAGTTGAGTCTGCAAAGCAAGATGGATTGTTCTGTGTACAAAATGAAATAATAATGACCTCATTCATAAAAAAAAATTTGTGGGATAAATGTGTGGGATAAATGTGTATAATGTTAAAAATTCAAGTGTAACTTTTTTGAGATAAATTTATTGCAGTATTTATCTATAAAGCTGTAAAAACAACTCTAAAAAGTATATAACAAAATCAAACCCTATAAAATAAATTTACACAAAGAATTAATCTAGTCAAGTATACACCACTTATTATAAGACATACATTTATATGATAATTGACGGTAATTTTATTTCATCGATCGATAATGATTTTTCTTTTTAAATTTAGATGAAAAATTGTAGTTAATGAGAAAATATTTTTTTATCGATGTTTTTTATATAGAAGAGAGTTGATCGTCGAGGATGAGAAAAATGATAAAACGGTTGTGAAGGCTCTAACCCCTTTCTTGGTTGTGTTGAAGAGTTAAGATAGATTTGATAGTCATACATTGATTGTCATCTAAAGGTCTCCTTCAATATTAATCGAAATCGTTTTCGAATTATTATTTATCCAAAATTACATGCAATATATATATATATATATATATATATATATATATCGATGACTAAAATCAAATATACATTCGTATTTTTATGACATTTCAACATATTATATTTATATGTGACTAAGGTGTTCTTCGAGGTTCGAATCGAAATCAACTAAGACATTCAAGAAGTAAGTTGAGTTCCAGCAACAATGGCCATTGCAATCAAGATTTTCGTATGCGTATTTTGTTCCGCAACAGGATTAGGAGGATTCGGTGGAGTGTTGAAAATACTGGTGCAACTAGCTTGTGCTCTAGGTGCCGGTTGTTCAGCCTTCAACATGCTATTGTAATCCTTCTCGAAGAACGCCGACGCCGCTTGTTGGAAACCATTCATCACGTCGTGGTACGCGTTTTCGCACGTCGTGAGAGCGTTCTTCTCCGCCGGATCAGTTGCTTTCTCGATGAGTCCCACAATGAGAGTATGCGTGTCGGTCGCGACTTTAAGCGTTTGCTCGACGGTTATCTGAGTTAGAGCAGTGATATCTGCGGTGGGACTCAAGTTTTGGTTGAATGTGTTGTTACAAAACGCATATTCCTCCATTTTCCGACATATTTTATCGATCAAAGCTTGTGTTGCGTCGTCACAGGATGCCGGGTTGATGAAGATGAAGCTGCCTAACAAAGCTAGAAGAACAAAATAAGTGCAGAACTTGGAAGAATTAAACACTGTTTTTGTTTTAATTTGTAGGAGGAGGGACGTGATTAGTGATGGATATTACAATGAAGCATGTGTAATTTATATAGCTATTTTGCATGAAGAACAAGTAAGGGAATACGTTAATATATGGGAAAATTTGTAATTTTACCATTCACGTGGATTCTTATACCTTATGAATTGTAACATTTTAGAAAAAATAATAATTTACGATCCATACACGTAAGGTAAAATTTTTAAGTTTTATAATTTATAGATTGTTAAATTAACTTAATTTTAACTGAAATTAAAACTTTTAAACTAAAGATAATCAATTTCATTTTTTCGTAAGAATCTCCTCGTTCTCTATTTATATAAGTATAAAAAAAATTCTCCATTTTTCTATATAAAGTAAATTTTCAATCCCATGTACAATTTTAAGAAAAAACGAGTTTACTAATAAATAATATATTAAAATATTATATTTTATGTCAAATATTGATTTCCATTATTTAGAGGAATATTGGATAAATTAGGATGCAAAATGTTGTTTTAGTTATTGAAATCAAGGTTAAGGATTAAATTGTAACGAATGTAAAGTATGAGATATAAAATAGTAATTTTGCCAAAAAATTTCAAGAAAGAGATGTTGTATATTTTAGTTTTTATTTAATCATCTTGAATCTAAAGAAAATCGAATATATGATGATAAGAATACATGACTTGAATTTTGGCATGAACGATGTCGGGTTGATATGAGTGTACGATATGATGATGATGTGAATAAGTGATTATAAGTATGAAGACGATAGCATGAATGACATGATATAAAGCAAGTATGAATACATGCTATGAAGCATGAATATTATGATAAGTTAAATGACATGAAAATGTTAAGACTATATAGAAATAAAATTACTAAAACATACATGATATGAATTTATGATGATCAAAATATTCTGAAACAGGTTCATGATATTCATAATTGTTCTTATAGGACTAATAAATTTGCACTTTATTGTATGCGTGCTTGATATAAAAAATGAATAAGGCGGATGACAAATTTTATGACCTATGTCATGAAATGGATATTTAACATTATTTAAGACCACGACGATAATAATAATAATAATAATAATAATAACAATAATAATTATAATAAATGATACATTAAAGGAAAAAATCTAATTTTTTTGTCATTGGTGTGTCATTCATTTTTTTAATCTTTATTGATCGGCGACGACACCGATTTTATGTTAATTGTCGACCGTCGATATTTTTTATTATCATTTTATTTTCTTATATCACATCTTTATTTTTTTATTTTTTTATTTTCAATAAGTCTGCTTGTATAACGTTTTCATATACTTTTATGACATATTTTCTTATGCCTTTTAGCACGTTTTTCGATCGTTTGATCATTTGTTCATTTATCTTGTTCTAGGAGTTGAGTTGACAGCGTCACGACTGATCGAGATGGTGTTCATCTGTTATCTTGTTAGTATTTTTTTGTTTTGGAACATCGGATTGGATTGTATTTGGATATCTGATTTACGTTCGTGAATAACTTTTCACGTCACTCGAGTCTGATTTACGGTTTAATGATGATCTTTCAGTAGTTTGATCTTTTTTGTGATTCGTTTCTCGATGCGATCAAATTTATTTGTAAGCTATATTTGTTTGAGTTTCTTGGTTAGGTTTTTAATCTTTTATTGTATTATCGTTATGTGATCTTAAGTTACTAATTTTTGTTTAAATGATTATATGAAATTGTCCCACTGTGGGCAATTCATAATTCTGACTGCCGGAGGTCTCCCACAGAAGCTGTTCTCAACCTGGCGTTTGGGGCAGCCTATTATCCTATCTCCCCCTTACCCCATTACATATGGGAATATGGTCAGCTAATTTATGGTTGTAAATATTTATTATAATTCAAGATATTTTATATTTTTAATAAAATCAATGACTTCTATAATAATAATAATAATAATAATAATATTTTTAAATTGATTTGAAATTAAAAAAAACGAAATTTAGAGAAAGAAAGGAGGGTTTCTAAATAAAGTTCCATGATTTATCTCATTAAACCACTGCTAGCATTCATTGTCTTGAACTTATTTGAAAGTAATCTTTGTAATTGTCATACTTACCAACAAAGCAAAGCTTCCCATTTATTCTCTCACAAGGATTCTCCATTTAAAAAAGATACATATCATGCCATTCAAGTTAGAGAGAGAAAATAGGGTTTCTAAATATTATTTTTAACGATATTTTTTTATTAGATAACATCACATGTCAATGATGGATGCAAGTGTATTTTATGATAAATATTATTTTAATTGTGTCAACTTCGAACTAAAATTTTATGTTATTAATATATATACATATGTACACCTTAAAAATATTTATAGATCCATCACTGATCGAGTTATTTTAATAAATTTATTAGTTTTTTATAACTTTAATAACTTTTTTTTTAAATCTACATGTATACAACAGTATACTAAAAATATAAGTTTTAATTGTTAAAATTGATTAAATGATATAACTGATTTAACTTTTATATATATATTAAAAAAATCGGTGGAATGTTCTCATTTAATTAATGTTATTGGTTTGCCCCCAAAGAATGCCACGTCAAACACAAACAAAAAATGCTAGTCTAGGATGATTCAACTCCAAGTCATCACCATTGCCCACACAATATTAAGTTATGCTATATATTATAAGAAAAAAGATTAATTTCCATCCAAGAATCATTAATATAATTATAAATTTTCAAAATATGTTCTTATTAAGAGCAATTATTTGATACATCGATTGTAGTTTTTTCACAAATAATTTTAATCCATCGATATATATACAGAGAGAGAGACACATAATAATAAATTAATATATTTGTAAAAAAATTATATATTAAGTAATAACTATTTTATTAAATATGCTTAGAAATGACTAAGAGACATTATTACATTGAAATGATGAAAAAACCAAACCCAGATATTTGCTTTGGCATCCAACGCACTCTTCCCCCCCCCCCCCCGATGTCTCAATCAAGGTCCACTAAATACATTATTTCATCAATAATTACATTTTTTATTATAATCCAAATTTTATTCCATTACGATTTAAAATTTTTTATTAAAATTTATAAAATTATCTAAGTGATATAAGAAAAAAAATATTTTTCTTAAAATTTTAGGTTTAAAAAATTACGCCATCAAGATGTATGTACATCATCAATCAATTAAAAAAATTTAAAAAATATACTAATTTATAATTATCTTAAAATATTTAAAAATATATATTATAGATTAATTCATTTAATGAAAAATAAATTAAGAAGAAAATAAAAATTAATGGTGTGCTATGGCCTTATAGAACGATATAATATTTTAATATTTTAAGTGTATATTTAACTATAAATATATGCTTAAGCATACCTTTCAAACACAACGGTTCGAACTTATGACATTAGAAAGAACAAATATTTATTTTAACTGATGAGTTCGTTAGATAAATTCATATGCTTAAGATTGTTACATTTAGCTTTTTGTTGTTGTGCGATTTTAGAGAATTTTCTTACAATTTATATAGTGAATTTTTTTTCATATTTTTATTTTTTTGAAAGAGTTTTTATAAAAAAATAAAATATGTGTTTACTTATTTTCTTTTTATTATTTCATAATATATTACTCATTATTATCCGTAGCATTTTTAAAGACAGAACCATAATTTTAATAAAGTTTTGTATTAGAACAAAATAGTAATTATTTTTTAAATTTAACTTTTAATTTCATTCATTTACTTAATAACATTAAGAAGTAAGTTCCAATTTTAATCTGTTTGAAATTGATTTCACACGCTATCTGAAATCAATTGAATTTATTATTTATTTTGTTTTGTTTTGTAAGGTGCTTAGAAATAGTATATGTTTTCAAGATTTTAATAAACACTCAAATACCATGTACAATCTCTAGTGCTTGAATTAAGACCTTTAAAAGTAATCATCTTTTCTTTAACCATTAAGGTAACTTGATTCGTGCTAATGAAGGAAATTATTAGTATTATTTTGTTAAGTCATTTGACTATTAAAAGTTACAAAATGATCCTTATACTATTAAAAATTACAAAATAGTCACCTAACTATTTATTTGTTCCAAACTTATCATTTTCCCTTAAAAAATGGTAGATGTTTAAGATAGACGTTTACATGTTGATTGTGATGTGATCAAATTTAATCTCAAAATCAATTTAGTTGTATTTTATGGATAAAATCTCAGTCAGTAAATTAATGCCTAGTTTAGATGAGCGTCAACTTTTTAATGGAAAATGACTATTGTAACATATAAATAGTTGAGTGATCATTTTAGAACTTTTAATAATAATGAGACTTAATAAAGTAATATAATGTAGTTGGGAGACCATTTGTATATTTTACCCTTTATTTTATTAGCTTCAATTATTTATACAATATGTGGAAATGTTCACTTCATCAATCATTATTTCACTTTTCCTCGTTGCATCTCTGTCATATTTTTCGAACTTTTAGATAATGATAAAACTAGTCCTTATTACACTTTTTAAATTTAACTCTTATAATTTTTATCTAAATTTGACCCGTAATATTTTAAACAAATCAAATTTTACCTTCAATCTTTAAAAATGGAAATATTTTTTTAAATAAAAATTATAATTAAAATGTTAAGAAGTTGACACGAGAACTCACAATAATGATATATATATATTTTATGTTTACTTTTAAAATAATTTAATGTATTTTTAAAATCCTTTATTAAGGTAATATATAATATCATTATGAAATATACTCAATCTACCATATCATATCAATGTATTTTTAAAAAAAGATTTGATTTTTTAGTATGAGATTTAGTTAAAAATAATAAATGACTAAATTGATAGAACTGCAAATTTTGAAGCTAAATTCTTTATTAGGCCTTTTTAAAATTTTCTCTCGTTTTCCTACAAGACAAACAAGCAAAAGCATAAAAGGAAAAAAATAAAGTGCCTTTAAAGATTAATTTTTTTTTTCAATTTCTGTCTCCGTCTCTCTCTCAGTTATATTTTCCTTCTCTATTTTCCCTCGTTCTCTCTCCTTAACAATACCTTCATCCGGAACCAGTAAAGCTGGTAACAAACCCTAGGAGGAGGAAGAGAACAAGAGAGGAAATTTCTTCCAACAAATCAGAAAAGGAAGAGAGAAAATAGAGGGGAAATCCAGGTATTCTTCTTATGCTTTACCAATTTTAATCCTTTAGTTTATTGAAATCTATTGTTTCTGTTTGCTTATCTGTATCTTTTCCTTTTTCCTTTCTATTTTTTATCATCTTGAAGAGGAAATTTGAGGGTTTCATTTATATTTAGATTCTTTCTACTTCTTTTTTGAATTTGTAGCAAACCCATTTAAGATCCGGGGCTTAATTTTTCTGGGTCGTGGTATGATTTTTGAATTGTTTGCTTTTCTGATCTTTAATTTCTCTTTTTTCCATTGGTTTAATTTGGCCCGGCTTGACAGTAAGCTTTTAACGAGTCTCATTCCGTTTATCATTTTATTGAGAATTTATCTCTTGACGTTTGATTACTTAATTAGGATTAATTGAATTAATTTTTTTACCTTTTTTTGTGTGTTCAAATTTGAATTGTGTTACATTTCTCTTGATGTGGGTGATTGTTTTATCTACCATGAAGTAATTGAAATGCAATGATGGGGTGAATTTGAGCTTTTCTTCTGTATGCTCTGTTGCTTTATTTGATTTTTTATTATGTTCAAATGATTTGTTTTGACAATGCTTACATTGGATTATGAATGGATGTTTTGCGAAATTATGCAGGCACATGCACCTCCTCGAGGCTCCTTTGTTCAATTAGAAAATACTGGCAATTTGTATTTGAAGAAAAGATCAAGGATGCGTCGCTGGCTTTGCTGTTCCCATCAGGCAGACGAGAGTTACCAACCACATGAAAACGAGCACTTGAAAGCACCCAAGGATCATACGGATGGTATGCTACTTTGTTGCTTACTTGATTTGATAATTCCAATTTACTGTTAGAAATCCTTTGGCATTGTGAATGCCGTATTCATTTTCTTGCAAATACAGATAATACTAAGTTTTACAGATCTTATATGTATTTAGTATTTACCACACTCGGGTTAATGGGGATGAGAGGCATATTTTCTATTGTTGGTTCTTCACCAGAAAGTATGAAGTGCTATTCATATTATGTATACATAACTGAGCCTTTTCTTATTTATGAGAACTGAGAAGAGATACGGAAGTTCGTTATGTTCTAATGATTTGCCTTCTTTATATGTTCTTAACATTTGTAGTCTACCATGAGCATTTAGGCATTTCATGAGCCTTTAGGAGGGAAAAAGGCATCAGAGAAAAATAATAACTCTCAAAGTATTTTGCTCGTTATTCGAAGTTGGACTGAAAACCCCCTTTTTTGGCGTTTTAAGCTTGTTATGATTTAGGCAAGAATTAGGAATCGACTTAGATTGCCTTGTTTATTTTATATCTGACTTTTACTTGCAATCTCATTGTTAATTCTACGGGCTTCCAGGGCATAATAGAAACTCAAAGGTGCCGGCTCCTATCAAACCTGAAGTGCAAAATTCACCACCACCAATTGAAGTTCCTGCATTAGCATTGGAAGAATTGAAAGAAAAAACCGACAGTTTTGGATCAAAGGCTTTGATCGGTGAGGGTTCTTATGGAAGGGTCTATTATGCTGACTTGAACAATGGAAAAGCTGTGGCTGTTAAAAAGCTCGATGTTTCTGCCGAGTCCGAGTCAAATGTAGAGTTTTTGACCCAGGTGTGTATAAGAAATTGTAGTTCTAAAATTCGGGTTCTTGTCATGTCATGTTTCCCCTTGTTTCTTGATGCTTCCGCTGCATGAATTTTCTATGGTTAGGTTTCCATGGTTTCAAGACTGAAGCATGACAATTTTGTCAAGTTGCAAGGTTACTGTGTTGAAGGAAATCACCGTGTGCTTGCCTATGAGTTTGCAACGATGGGTTCGCTTCATGACATTTTGCATGGTTTGTGATGCCATGACGTTATATATTGATTCCCGATATAGATTTATCTGACCGGAGTGGACTCATTTAGTTTGACACTTTTCTTGCTTTTGGGAATCATAGGAAGGAAGGGAGTTCAAGGGGCACAACCGGGGCCAGTTCTTGACTGGATGCAGAGGGTAAGAATTGCAGTTGATTCAGCAAGGGGCTTGGAGTACTTGCACGAGAAGGTTCAACCCTCGATTATCCACAGAGATATCAGATCTAGCAATGTGCTTCTTTTTGAAGACTTCAAAGCCAAAATTGCAGATTTTAACCTCTCAAACCAGGCTCCTGACATGGCTGCTCGTCTTCATTCTACTCGAGTTTTGGGAACCTTCGGCTATCATGCTCCAGAGTATCTTTCAAAATCTCTTTATATTGGTTATTTTTTCTCTCCTCAAACTAAACCAGTTATTGCCTGTTGCCGAGCTGCAAAGATTATTTAGGATTTGGAACTTATTTTATGGCTCGAATGTTTTCTAGGTATGCAATGACCGGTCAGTTGACGCAAAAGAGTGATGTTTACAGCTTTGGGGTTGTCCTTCTAGAGCTTCTTACGGGGAGGAAACCTGTTGACCACACGATGCCTCGTGGACAGCAGAGTCTTGTTACCTGGGTGCGTTTATTGCTTTCTCTTCTTTCTGCTAATCTTTCCTCGTAAAATTTGATCGACACTTCAACATTCCGTTTTCTCGATTTCAGGCTACCCCAAGACTGAGCGAAGACAAAGTTAAACAATGCGTAGATCCAAAACTGAAGGGAGAGTATCCTCCTAAAGCCGTTGCTAAGGTATTCTTATCCTGTATCTGCATAACTTGCACCAGTTCAATTTCATAATGCACACTGTACTAACATATCGCATTCGTTGTCTCTGCTGATGCAGTTGGCAGCTGTGGCAGCATTATGTGTGCAATATGAAGCCGAGTTCCGTCCAAACATGAGCATTGTTGTCAAGGCTCTCCAACCATTGTTGAAGGCTCCAGCAGTAGCAGCGGCACCCGAGACTTAAAAAGCAAATGAACCCGAGTTTCTCCTCCAGTCATCGGGAGTTCCACAACCTATGAATAGGTTGGTTTCATAATCAATACAGATTTTAAACTGGTCACTTAATATTAATTATAAATACATTATCATATTTTTCATATATGACATGGTAAGCTTAGGATTGGGTTGATCCGTTTAATTTCTGTCGGTTTCGGATTTAGTCATAAAATTGACCAAGGGATCGGGTCGTGTTGGCGAGTATGATTTGGTTTTTAATTTCTTCTTTGTTATGCTTCGTGAATGTTTACGTTGAGAGAGATTGGAACTAATCCAAGTGCAGTAGTCTTTGATTTGTTGATGTTTATATCTTCTCCAAGAAGAAACAAAGAAAAAGTTTGATAATTTCAGTGATATTTCAAGCGTAAAGAAAAAGAAATTGGATAATTTACGTTGAAATCAGTTATCGAATTAAATTTTGTGATTTCTCTTGATAAGAGATTTTCTCATCAATGAATTCTAATTTGTCCTTGGGCATTTTCAAAAAGCTCAGACAGGCCTTGGGACATTTAACATCCCAATAAGCTTGCTTTCATTGTCGATCAATCAAATTTGGTCTTCCCTCAACATTAGGGTTTAATATTAATGCAACGAACGAAGCTACTCAAAAGATAATGTTAATGAAACGGATAGGAGGGTCTCCACCAACATACGTATATAAGAGTAGCCAATTCCATTCACCATTCAAATTAGATACATTTAGGAATAACAGCAGATTGAATCTGGTTCGATTTCTGATCTATCTGAATTTATTTTAATAATGGAAAATTCAGCCACATCATCCCGATCCAGATATAGGAGGGTCTCCACCCGACCTAAAATTTGACTTGATATTAAATGAAATAAGGATGTAATTGAAAAATTAAAATAGAAATAGATATTATTACAATTATTTTTTTAAGTATATAAAGAATAATTATCCTATTATGTTAGATTGAGTCAAGTCAGGTTAGTTTTTTTATCCTGATCCCAATCTAATTCAACCACATTCTAAAGAAAAATCCAACTGGATCTAAACTAAAATTTTCAAAATAAAAATCGACCTGAACAATTGGACCAAATCAGAACCTTTGGATTTAGGTTATCTAACATATTACTTAAAGTATTTACGACCTCGGTAGTTAAAGGGAAGGTTATCCTCCCTAAAAGTTCTGAATTCAAAAAACTATATTTATAAAGTATATGTATGTTATCAATAATTAAAAAAATTATAAATAAATCCATCAGATATGATTAGATAATCCGGCCCTTGCAAATGTCAACTATGTATATATATACATATATTATTGTACTTCCCAACCCACATCCTATAATCCCAGAATACTGTCATCTCTCATTTGCGCCACCATCAGCTTGAGTTAACCAACCATGGATGATAATAACAGTCCCAAGAAGAACACCCAAAGTTCTCCTCTTCTTTCAGAAGGAAACCAAGAACTGTGTCTTCATTCTTTCAATGAGAAAACTGCCCCTCTTTCTGGGTTTTTGCAGAGAGAAAAGAAAGAATGTTCCTTTGGAGTCAATGCCATTGAAGCTGTCAACAAAAGGATCATCAAAGGAAAAGCCTTGGATTCTCAAACTGCAATGGACTCCGAAAAGAAACCACCCTTGATTGATCTTGAAGTTGGGAGATTTTTCATTGCCAAAGATCTTGATTTTCCTGTCAGGCTGCCTCTAAAGATTGAAGTCGTCGACGATACAGCTTTGATCGGATCATTCCCACTCGCCATAACTGGAAACGGCAGTGTAAAATATGAGAAGAAGAAGAAGAAGAAGAAGAAGGGGAAACTTGAAGTTGATGAGAAGAAAGCTAAAAGGTCAAGAAGGAAGGGAAGGGTTGCAAGAAAGGTTTTAGGAGAAGCTGTGAGATCCATGGATTCAACAAAGATAATGTACTCGAGGAAAGAGTTGCAGCATTTGAGATTTGCTAATATTGAGGAACAATATACTTTGTGGAAGGATATCTATGGTGGTCTTGCCATTGATGTGATCAAGGAGTATGAAGATTTGGCTACCTGCAAGCCACAGAAGAACATTGCAAAGTTTGGTAAGTTCTTTTATCTCATAAATGTGTGTTCTCATCATCTCGTTTCCTCTGTTTAAAGTTTTATCAATGGACTCGTTTTCTATTGTTGCAGGTTTGGTTGCTGGAAGAGAAACAAGGATTGGTGACAACATCTTTCTACACTGACTGGGCCGGATTCCGATCGGCCGAAGGCCTTGTTTGCTGCAATTCAGCTTGTAAAATTTCGTTGCTGATACTGTTAGGCACACTGCACCAGTATTAAGTTCCTTCCCCTGTAGGATACTTGTAAATAGGATTCTCTTGTTCTAGGAGAATGCATGTTCTGATGTGATCCGGCAAAGACCCCGTTTGCTCCGATTGTGACTCGAAAAATTTCGTTGCAGATTCTTAGGCAGTTTTTAGTTTCCTGTATAGGATGGGTGAAAATAGGATTCACGTTCTAGGAGAATTTGTGTTGGTAATATGCAGGGTTTCATATGGTACATTCTTTGCAACTTCTTTAATGAAATTCAACTTTTGAATGCCTTTGCAAGTGAATGAGAGGAAACTCGCCTTTAACCATTTGCTGTTACTTCTGCATATTTGTAATGTATTTGTCAATCCTTTGCATTCAATATCTTGAATTGCACAAGCCCTTTGCTTTAAAGGGAAGAGTATACCACTACCCTTAGGCCTGCTTTCATTGTGGAAGACTGGAACCCGCGGGACAGAACTAGAATCAAACATCAGGAAAGACCAAATTATTTTATTATCTCGTCCCAACACATGTCCTTAAACCTTGGTTGGTGATGATATTTGGGATAATGTTATTTACATCATGCGTAGGACTCCGATATTTGTGGTTCTCTTCACATTCAGATTCGAAAATATTCTCTCTTAAAAATATTTGCTAGAATCAAGTAAGATAAAACTGAGTAATTTTTTTAATAAAAAAATTATAGACTAGAAATAGTAGTGAAAGTGATAGCTAAGCTTAGTTTAGAAATTTCATTTTATTTTACAATGGGAGAGTACAAATTTACAAGGGTTTGGAACTATGGAGTACAGAGTTGTACTTGACACCAGTGATTGAATTATTGGCAATAGAGACTTGTACTGTATCACCATTGTGTAGTACATTTGAAGGCATGTACTAAATCACTAGAAAATGTATTTATAAGCTGCTTGATTCTACATTTCCATGTTGTCAGCAAATGTTGGTAACAGGCGGAGAAGTCCAACCGGGTCGACCTTAGAACACATGATGTTAACTTGAAGTGAGTAAATCTTTATCCACTAGTTTCCCATCACTTGGTGTGTTCTCAGGTCGCCCCTGTGGGACTTTTCTTCGCCGTTTTTTCATACAACTCCGGATAAATTAAGGTAGTTATCATTCTTTGTACGTATGGTTTATTTATTGTTGTTGCGTTTTAGTTTTAACTTCGAAGAATTCATTTGGTTTCAACTTTTATATCCATATTTGATATTTGTATTTCCAATGAAATCCGGTATAAATACAGGATAAAACCTTTCCAAGTTAAGGAGAAAGAAGATAAGACAGTGATGAATTTGGGCATCGAGCATGGACCTTTCATACAAAAAAAGCTGCGGTTTATTTTGAACGATATTAATTCGATTGATATTATTAGATATTAATTTTGTTTGTACAATAAAATTGAGACAAAATCTCAAATTTGATAAAATACTCTAATTTTCACCTCTTCCACGAAATTCCTTATAAGGTATTAAAACAATAAAGGCTGATTGATCCAAATCTCACCTAAGCTTAGATGTATGATGTAATTTAATTTTCACATCGATAAGATCTTTATAAGTGTCAATTTTGTTCAAAATTGTACCACTACGAAAAATATCATGCACAACACAATCACAATTAATGATAGTTCTATCATTTATTAATAATTTATGGGATGAATTGAACTCTCTTTTTCTTCTCAAACTATCGTGTTCATAATTTTTTTCGTTTCCTAAAATCGTTATTTTTTGTTTTGTTTAACTCGAAATTTTATTTTACATAAACAATTTATTTAATAGAGATTTAATTGATATTACTGAAAGCGAATTAAAAATTTAGTGATTTTATTATAATTTTTAAAAGTTATATGACCAAAATACAATCTCTTTAAAAGTTTGGGGAATATTTTTAGACTTTACCCTTAAATTAAATAGTGGAGTTTCGAATTACATAAACTCTGGTTTCTACACAGGAGTAATATTGAATAAAGATAATTCATAAATAAGTTCTCTCTCTCTTCCGTAACACCTAATTCAATTACATAACTTTCCTCACCAAATTTTCCGTCTCATTTCTCACCTAAGCTTATGTTTCCCTTCTCTTTCAGTTTTTCACTTTCTCTCCATCCAAACAAGACCTTGTCTTCGTCATCTTAGGTAAGTGGGAAATGGAATCGGAGGACGATATGATTGACGACTCAGTCTCAATGGAAGACGATTTCTACAGCGGCGATTTCAGCTATTGCTACGACGACCCTAACGATAACGATAACGATTATTACTCCGACGAAGACAATAATTACGGCTTACTTGAAGACGACGACGATGATGATCGAAATGCCACCGTTTCTCTTCGTCCCCAGGTCATCTTTTTGATCTTTTATTCAAATCCGAAAAAAAAGTAAATTCTTTTTATAGCTTGATTCCTTTTTAAGTTCAATTTATTTTAAGTGTGCTGTTGAAGACGCTACTGAATAAATTCCATGGAATTACTGATATTTTAATTTTGGAAAATGGACAATTTAGACAAAACAATAGCGGAAAGATAAGTTTTTTAGTGAAATTAGTTGCAAAAGTAGAGGCGGCAACGCCTGGAAACGACGACGAGGGAAACTTAGATAATGTAACAACTGATGAAAGAAAAAGATAATTCAAAGTAATATTTGGAAATTTGTATCCTTTTGCTCATCAGATCAGTGGTAGAATGATAAAACAGAGTTTTAAGTAGCTAATAATGACTGATTTTCAGACTCATAAGGAAAGATTTCGTAGTTAATGATCGCGTACGGTGTCGCAGAATCTCCTTCGATACAGTTGCTGATGATTTTCTGGACTTCTCTTTTTTTTTCTTCTTTTGATTGATTCGGAATTCAAATAGCTGGTTAAGATAGTTCTTGATTACATCTTTTTTTTTATTGGTGATGAGGTAGTTTTGGGGTCTGATTTCGGGGTTTGTTTCGTTAATGATGCAGAAATGAAAGTGGACACTAATCATTTTCCCTACGTTCTTACTAGTTGATAGTAGAGTCACTAGGCTTGAAATTCAGAGTTTAGAAGATCGAAAACATTGTGCATTGAATTTAATGCAAGTATTTCCAGCTCTATTACAATATTAACATGCTTTTGTTTTCTATTTCAGTTAAGCTATACTGTTTTGAAGGAAGCAGATATAAAACAACATCAAGAGGATGATATTTCTAAGGTTTCTACTGTCCTTTCAATATCAAGAGTTGATGCAACTATTTTGCTCCGATACTATAATTGGTAATTTTTTTTCTTCCTCTAGTCTTCTGTTCTTTTGGTGTTATTTTGGTTAATACTGCATTATTCATATTCCTTTTGTTGGTACAGTACAGTTCTTAAAATTCAAGGTTGTTTATGTCTTCTGTTTTAAGTATTAGTTTGTGTTCACCATTTTAGAGGTCCTTTTTTGTATAAATCATGACAAGTGAGCCATTCTTCTTCTTCTTTGCGGGAAGGTGGCTGTGACTGCTTCCGCTTGCTGTTAATTTCATGAATTAGGCTGTTTGTATTGTTAGATTCCAGAAACTTGTTTTTCTGAACATGGTTGGCATAGCAGGAGTGTCAGTAAAGTGCATGAGGAATGGTTTGCTGATGAAGAAGGAGTACGGCAATCTGTTGGATTGTTGGACAGATCTATGATTTTGCTTATTCTTTTAGAAACTTCTTCTTTTCTGATATTTTATCTTTCTGAACTACCTACCTGACACATCTTGTTGCTTCCCGATCAGCTTACTTGCGGGATTTGTTTTGAATCTCTTCTGCGTGACAATATTACTTCAGCTGCTTGTGGTCATCCCTTTTGCTTTTCTTGCTGGCGAGGTATCCCTCATGCTTAGTCTGATAGGTTAATTTTAATTTTCCACTATTCAAAGTGATTGTTTTATGCACATGTTTTTCGCAGTGTTTGAAATTAACTTTTTCTGATGAATATTTCCTTACTAACATACTACCATTTGGCTTCGCTTACAAGTGTTTTGATTTTTCATATATCATCAATCATGTAGCGAAGTATTAATTTCTGTGTACTTTGTTATTCAGATATTTTATCCTTGTCTTTTATTATGCTTTTTGTCAGGAAAAAATTGCTTATACTTTCATTGGTATATTTGGTTTATTATCGTAGGTTACATTTCTACTACCATTAATGATGGTCCTGGATGTTTATCACTGAGATGTCCTGATCCATCTTGTAATGCTGCTGTTGGCCAAGATATGATTGATAAGTTGGCAACTTGTGAAGAAAAACAAAAGTATTCTCGGTACCTACTTAGGTCCTATATTGAAGACAACAGGAAGGTATGCTTTGTGAAGACTCTTCTCAGTGCATTTATGCATGCAAGTGTTCCATCTTGTTTAGCATTTGTGCTGTGTGTGCAAAGGAAAATGGGCATGAATTGCTACTTCCATTAGTTTTGATGAGTTATATCTTTTCCGCTTCCATTCTTGTCCTTATTTCTTCTTTTGCTCACTGGCAGACCAAGTGGTGTCCTGCTCCGGGGTGTGATTATGCTGTTGATTTTTCTGTTGGTGGTGGAAATTTTGATGTGTCCTGCATCTGCTCACATAGCTTTTGTTGGAATGTAAGTACAGACTTTTTGTTTTATTGTAGATTAGATTTCATGGGCATTACTCTCTAATAGATGTTTAAGTTATGCCAAATCTTGGTCTCAGTGTACTGAAGAAGCTCATCGTCCTGTTGATTGTGATACTGTGGCAAAGTGGATTTTGAAGAATAGTGCAGAGTCAGAAAACATGAATTGGTAAGATACATTTTAAGTCTTCGAGATGGTTGTTTTTGCTGGATTCATATTCCTTAATCTGAATTTGGACTGAAGTGCTACCACTGTTTTTCTATTTGGCATATGCTATTCATATTGGTAATTGAGAGAAATAAAAAGGTTATATACTAAACCTCTTTTCTTTTTGGCCCCAAAAGAAAAACCTCTTTTCTGCTTTTGCATTGACTTCCTATTCCCTGCATTTTCCCATATTCCTTTATTTTCTTAAGAGAACATGCAAGGGGAGGTATCTGAAGTTCTGAATTCTGTTATTTTCTAAGTTCATTTTTATTTTGCTGATTGTGCATTCTAATGATTCATTCTTATTTTACTCTCTTCCACATATTAGCCCTTCATTTATTTAAATTGTATCTTCTCTTGTAGCTTGGATAGAATATGGTGGAAAATCTTGCTATCTCGTTGTTTACCATTTTTGTTTGGTGTTATGTTCAGGATACTAGCTAACTCCAAGCCTTGCCCCAAATGCAAGCGGCCAATTGAAAAGAACCAAGGGTGTATGCACATGACATGCACACCACCCTGTAAATTTGAGTTTTGCTGGTAAGCCTCAAATCCTACATTGATCCAGGAAAAAGGATGCTGCTTGATTTGAGACATATTTGGGGTAGTCTGTCAATCTGTTTAGTTAGGGTACAAAGTGGGTAGGGTTAGAGCTAGTGGTTTTATGGTAGGATACATGGATCAGTCGAGGTTTGATGCAATCATAAGTCTCAAACGAAGATTGAAATTGTGGGAAAAGATTACTTGAAATTCTGGACGGTTTGCTGTAAATGGTAAACCAAGGGTACTTTAACAACAAATAAGTAGGGGAGGGAGGAGAGAAGAATACAAAATGAGAGGAAAAGAGAAGAATAATTTTGGTATCCATGCCTTAGTAATCTCTACTTTTGTAATCAAATGATTTAAAAAGGATCACTTTATTTTCCATTTTTTTAACTTTGTTGATTAAAGTCTACGAAAATGTGAAGAATAATAAAGAATCCAGGGCTACCCCTAAATTTACTAGGACTAGGATTTGTAATAGGAATTAACCATTAAACAGAGAAAATAAAAATCTTGGTCTTGGAGAAAATAATATTAAAACTTGTAGAAAAATATGAAATTCTTCAAGTAACATAAATTATATTATTACTGGGGTGCATTATTTTATGAAATTATGATCCTGTTCCGAAAAAACATGGGCTGAACATGGTGAGAGAACTGGTGGCTTCTATGCTTGTAATCGTTATGAAGCTGCTAAGCAAGAGGGTGTGGTATGGAAACTACGAAAGCTTTTTTGGTCATTGTGCTTTTAGAATCTGCTTGAGTAATGGTTGAACCAGTGACTCATGATTCATATTATTGCCTGCAGTATGATGAGGCTGAAAGAAGGCGAGAAATGGCAAAGAACTCCTTGGAGAAATACACCCATTATTATGAACGCTGGGCAAGCAATCAATTGGTACTTAAAGTCTTCTCTTACCTCTTATTTGTCATCGCATAGGCCCTTAATATATTTTCTTCTACTTTGCATTTTTTTCTTAAATCAGCACCTATATTCGGGATGATGTTATCTGCTTAATGACTGTGCTACTGACTGAAAATTTTAGATGTTTCATGTCAAATATGAGCGTTCATGTGCTTGTGTATCAAACAATGGTGTTCGGCATGCCAAGGGTTTCTTGAATTACTTTTATATGAGTTAACAACTTTACTCATTATATCTTAACAACTACAGCAAGTGATGAAGATGGGAAAGTAGGAAAGCGAACAATGTGAATGTAGGCCTTTGGGATCCTAGATACAAAAAAGAAGAAATTATCTGTTTTTGTAGAAGTGGAAATCTTGAGACTTTTGATCTTTTGATGTGCCATCTTTAAAATTGCACTGGGAATAGAGAGGTTCCTGTTTGCTGCTCAGATTGTAGTAACTAGTAATATATTCTATTGGCAACTTGGCAAGTATACATGGAGAAAGTTATAACTTCAGTAGAAAACAATGAGTTGGCATTGTCTTTTAAATGTTATTTTGGGTGTTACATGCTTCTGCAACTGATTTTATCTTAACTTTCTCTTTTGTATCCTTTTATTGACTTTGTTGGTAAAATATCAAATTTTGCTTTTGATAATAAGTTTGCATAACCTTAAAGTTCCTATTTGCAGTCAAGACAAAAGGCGCTTGCAGATTTAAATCAGATGCAAACTGTGCATGTAAGTTCTTACCAAATTTCTTTTTATAATTTTGAGGTGTTCATCTAGGTATTCCCTTTTATCCCCTTGTTAGCAGAATTTGTTTGTGCTTTGTTTTCTGCATCTTCATCTTTTTGGCCAGGTGGTTGGTTCACTTATTAATCGCCTCTGATTGTTTTTCTCTTCAAGTGATTTTTTATAAAATTTTGCCAATTTCCTCAAGTGAAGTTTAAAATCTTATTTTCAACAGAAGCAGCAACTAAAAATGATTTTATGAAGTTTCAGTGTAGAATGAAGTAACTCTACTGTGTTTTTATTAGGTATAGCTTATATTTTGAAATTAGAATAGTTTCTTGAAGGAATTATGTACATTAAACACTTATTGGCTTATTGCTATATTTGGTGGCGGAAAGGAGTTCTAACTGTTGAGATTCATGGCAACAAGTGCTATTATGTAATTGAATGCATACTAAGACTATTTTTCCCATTCTGTTATGCATACTAAGACTATTTTTCCCATTCCGTCCTTCCTACCATACAACTGTTAGAATTTATATTTTAATGCAGCTTTAAGATGGTTCCATGTTATCAAGTTTGTTGGTGACCTCATAACTATATTAGGACTGTCTGAGTAAAGTTCTTTGTATTTTTCTTTTAATAATATATATATATATATTTGTATATTTTTAATTTCTGAGCAAATTTCTTTAATTTTGCCAGCTTGAGAAGCTTAGTGACTCACAATGCACACCCGAGTCTCAGCTTATGTTTTTAACAGAGGCATGGCTTCAGGTAAATGATTGTCATTTGAGCATTGTCTGCTTTATCTCTTTTTCAGAAGAAATATGTAATTCATGTTTTTGCGATGCATATAATTTTGCAGATAGTCGAATGTAGACGAGTTCTCAAATGGACTTATGCATATGGATATTACCTTCCTGAGCATGAGCATGCTAAGAGACAATTTTTTGTGTACATGCAAGGTATGTGCAGATTTTTGAAAATGCATGGACGAAGTACATTTGTTTAGAAAATTGTTTTTCTAAATGTACTATTAATAATATACCTACTTTGTATCTTGTTTAGGGGAGGCGGAGTCTGGTTTGGAAAGGCTTCACCAGTGTGCTGAGAAGGAATTAAATAAATTTGTTACTGCTGATGGCCCATCAAAGGAGTTTGATGACTTTCGTGCAAAGTTAACTTGGCTAACTTGGTATGTTTATTTACTTTTGAATGAATGAATTGGTGTTTAGCTACGTTGCTCTGTTCCTTTATTTTTCTCGAGCCCCGTATCTGAAGTATATTTAGACATGAGTATGGGGATATGATCTGCCAAGAACCGTTTTCAACTATCCGGTAACATAGTTCCTGGGTAATCTGGCTTTCTGTTTTTCTCATCTTGAAGCACTGGGGATGAAAATGAAACCTATCTTGACTACATTGGGAGGGACTTGTGAATTTTGTTGGTTTTGTTCGTTTTTTATTCTCTTTATCTCTCTTGCTTTTGAATTTTACCCGTCTGTCTGTACTTCTCCATGATATCTTCTCCTTTGCACTATTCTCGACATGTGCAAACTTCTTGCTTTCACTTTTAACCACATTTAGTAAAAATGTTCCGCACGAGCGACAGGATCTAGAATGATTGTGAGTGCGTTTCTGATTCAGTTTCTGTAACATTTATCTTCTACAGTGTGACAAAGAATTACTTTGAGAATTTGGTTAGAGCACTTGAGAATGGTCTAGCAGATGTCGACTCCCAAGCTGCAGCCGCAAGCAGTAAGACAACGAGCTCGAAAAATACAGGAGGGACTAGCAAAAAAGGGGGCAGGGGAAAAGGGAATTCTAAATCTGGTGGTTCTAGCAGAAATGTAGATGATACAAGTAACTAGTCTTGTAAACCGCTGCGCCTTCTAGTTTCTGCGTTTCATAAATTATATGTTGGGTGGTTGTTTGGGGAGGGGGGGTTTCGTCAGCGGGAGGAGCCTACCGTTTGTCGTAAGTGTGCTCTTTTTCTGTATATATACTATATAATATATGTACTTGTACATGTAATACAGACATCTTACCATATATATATATATTTATAACATGCCAACTTGCTTTTGTTCTTGAATTTTGTTCTATGATTTATTGGCTTTGAATGCAAATATTTATATATAAAAAATATAATTCATTTACCTTGTTTCTTGTACAACAATTTGTAGCATTAAAATATACGTTAATGCAATCACTTTTGAGCTAATGATAGGACAAATTTTAGAATCAAAACAGAGCTGAAACATATGATAAATTAAAAGATATAGGGTTCAAACAATTTACAGAGGAACAAATTTTGGGATGCTTGAGTTCGTTACTTTAGTTGGCCAGATTTTCTTAACATTTTGATACTCACTGCATTTATCAATGCTCTAGAATATTGGCGGGAAGCCATTTTCCAGTCCATGCCTGTTAGCATCATTGCCTTGAACTCTTGGTAACTGATTCTACCATCCTACAAAGCAATAGAAAAAAGTTATTGGTTTCTAGAACTCGGGCTTAGTTTGGTTGTTTCATTCAATCACTACTTGATTTCTACGGTGTAATTGAGCTTAAGCAGGAAGAAACTCGAGCTCGATTTGCAGTAAAAATGGAACTGTTTGATCTCTCTTAGGTTAGGCTTGATGAAGCTTTTATTGTTATGCTATACTCACGTTTGAATCGTGTTACTCGAGTCAAAAAATCAAGATACTTGATTTCGGTTCATTACCTTGTCCTTGTCGACATCCTGCATGATGTCCTTGATGAGCTGCTCATTGTTGGGGCCAGGGTCATCTTGAAGTAAAGCTTCTCTCAGTTCTTCGAATTCGATATAACCACTTTGGTTCTTGTCGAAATGATGGAAAGCTTGTGTTAGATGCTCGTCGTTCCCGATCCTTTTCAAGTGAACCGCCATTATCACAAATTCCTCGCAGCTCAACGACCCACTTCCATCAATGTCCGCCTTTCCCACACAAAATAAAAAATTCCAAGTTTCAGTCCGATATTCATGATAATTCATTTATGTCTGCAACCGCAATAAAAAAATGACCAACTTACTGCTTCCATTAACATCTGAACATCAGGATCACTAACAGAGTGACCAATTTTCTGAAGTCCATCTCTGAGTTCCTCAAACGATAAGTATCCGTTGTCGTCAGTGTCCATCGTATTGAACATCTCGATGATCAAATCGATTTGTTCATTCGGCAAGTTGTCGGCAACCACCTAGAAGAGACAAAATGAATGTTTCTCCAGCGGTGGTTCCTTATAAAGTCGACATCGATTTAAACACTTAAAAGAAGGTGGTTTTCGAAAATCCTTACCCTTAGAACCTTCTTCTTGAACTTGCTCATCAGTGAGAACTGCTTAATCCTGGTTCCCACATTTTCACCCAGATTGAAGTTTGGAGCTTGCTGCAGGTTCTGTATCCATGTATGCTCTTCATTTAACAAACAAAAAGAAACACATTAGCTTCGATCTATGTTACTTGAAGTCGAAGTATAAATGTTGGTGTAACGATCGGATCGGATAAATGGATGAAGCAAGCGTACCGAGAACCTCTTGAACAGACATTCGAGTGAAGGGGTTAGGATCGAGCATGTTTCTAACAAGATCCTTGGCTTCATTAGAAACTTTAGGCCAAGGATCCCTTTCAAAGTCTATGTGACCTTTTATTATTGCATGAGCAATTCCTTCCTCAGTGTCTGCACTAAGCCAATTAATCATGTAAGAACCGGACCGAATCGGTTTCAACCAGTCGGTCCGAATATGTTCCGATAACGGTGACACATATACTTGTGTCGGAATTGTATGTAAAAGGAAGTAGCAATACCAGCCCAGAAGGGGGGAACACCACAAAGCAAGATATAAAGGATAACTCCAGTGCTCCAGATATCAATTTCTTTCCCATAGTTTCGCGTTAAAACCTCTGGAGCCATGTAATATGGACTTCCTACTATGTCACTGAAACGCTCACCTGCCATTGCCATCAACTATTAACATTAATTCTTTACAAAAATAAGTTTTTTCCTATAGTTTATGTGACGATATTTAAGAGATTACATTCAAAAGAATTAAACTCGAATTTCAACATAGATTTTTTTTGACCTCTTAAATTCGAATAAACATCAAAACCGAATATTATAAGAAGAAATGAGATTACCTGGTTCATAGAAAATGGAGAGGCCAAAATCAATTACTTTAATTGGGGCACTTTCACTTTCATCAGCCAACAAGAAATTCTCAGGTTTTAAATCTCTATGTACAACTCCATGTTCATGGCACACCTGTAACAATTTCCTCACACCTCATAATAGGCAAAAATATGTAAAATATCATACACAAGCATATGTAAAAATGACCTTTAGCGATGAAGGAAAAGATATAGCCTCAAAAATAAAATAAAAAAACGTTTTAGCGATGAAGGAAAAGATACAGCGGCGAAAAATAAAAGAAAATATGTTTTTAGCGACGAAGGAAAAGATATAGCGGCGAACAATAAAAGAAGAAATGTTTTACCGACGGAAAATAAAAGAAAATAAAGATTTAGAGACGAAGAAGTTACCTTTACAATCTCCAAAATAGTTTTAATAACCTTAGCAGCCGCTCGTTCCGTATAATGACCTTTAGCGACAATTCTATCAAAAAGTTCACCTCCACAGCAAAGCTCCATTACAAGATAAACAGCTTCATTATCCTCAAAAGCTTCCTTAAATCTAACCAAATTCGGATGCTTGGGCAAATGCTTCATGATCTCGACTTCCCTCGTTACGTCTTCAATGTCGATATCCGTTTTCAGCTTCGCCTTGGATATTTTCTTGCACGCGTAGGCTTCTCCGGTTTCTAGCTCAATACATTGATATGTGATACCGAACTCGCCTCTCCCCAGCTCGCTCCCTAACTTGTATTTCTCCAAGATGTTCTCCTCCAACGGATCTTTCAAGACCTTGCTGTTGGCCGATCGTGTGCTCTTCGATTTCCATATGCATTTCGGGTTGAAATAGAAACGTCCGGATTTCGATTTCGGGTAAGCGCCTTTTTTTACGCCTATTAGCCTCGATGGTCTGGCGACGCAACTTCCCATGGGATGGTAGATATGATGAAGATTGAGTAAATTAGAGTTGATTTGGTTTGATGTTTTAGGTCATAAAGCATACCCTGGGAAGCAAGAAAAATGGTTTTTTGTGTGCCTGTTTGGATAGAAGGAAAATGCAAAACCTAGCAAAGAAAACGAGATACTAAATTTGGTTTATTTTGAATTTGGTTGAGAATATTTTTTTGAGTTATTGGTTTTTGTTAGATTTGTTCCCTCATTTTCTTAAGACAGTTTAAATATAGATTATTGTCCTTAATCACACCAGATTTTAATGCTTTATTACTAGAACCTCTAAAATCTAGGATTTTTTCTTTTAATTTTCTTTTGCAAATTAATATTATATTTACTTTGTAGGTTTAAAATTTGAATTATATTCATCAATAACCATTAAAATTGTTTTTAAAATAATAAATAAAAGATAATGGAAAAATAACATATTTTTCATTCAACTTTTACAAAATTATTATTTTAATCAATTCATTAATCTAATCGAGTTTTATTCACCTTAATTGTACAAAAATATTCTTAAATTAATCTATTCTACCATACTTTTTCTTCTTGTTTCATATGTATAGACAGTGTAACAGTGTTGAATTATCCATCAGTGGAAAGTTTGAGAGCTGAATGGGACGGAGTGGAAGAAACATAAACTATTTCTCATGAATTTAAATTACGGTCACGGTTGTATATTTTATTGGTTTATTCTATCATTATATAACGGCTGCTATTTAAATTTTTGGTCTTCATTTCATGTTTCTCCATGGTCTCCAATGGCGGAAGACGACGAACGGGTACTCGATAACGGAAGCTTCTCATCATCTGCTGCTGTTGATGAAACCATGAGGCATGAGGCTGTCTTCAGCTTGTATTTCACCTTTTTCTCAAAGAGTGTTTGATCTTGACCTTTCATCTCGAGAATTTGATGAAGTAAATTGGATTGGAAGAGAACGAACCGTTTTTCTGATCGTTTCGAGAGGAAAATCGAAGGCAAACCTGAGGGAATTTGGAGACACTTAATCATGTCTCCAAGAAAGGACACAATAAAGATCAAAGCCACCGTGGAAAACTTGCACCGGAGCAAAATTCTGCGAAAACCGAAACACGGCGGATGCAAGATCAAGAAGGGGAATACGATGCCTTCAAGGTTGAGAGAATCGACGTTGAAAGTTGCAGAAGATGATTTTACATCACATGAAGAAGCTCCGATTAAGATGGTTGTAGGACTTGGTGTGGTGAGTTTGATGGGCATTAGGGTATTGACTCGTCCGACTCAATGAAGGCGTTTTTTTTTGGCTTGATGAAGCCCTATGATTCTATCATAATTTGTGTGTATAGGAAAACAAGCTTATGGATTTTCGAGTTTGATTCCAAAACAATTAAATTTTGATTAGTTAAACATAGAATTTGATGTCGATTTAATCAAATTTGAGAATCTTAATTTTTGTAAGCTTACCATAGTTCATTCTATTTTTTAAGCAGAAGTTAATAGAAGAGAAATATTAAAAAATATAATAAAGTTTATAATCATAATCGTAAATTAAATATATAAATATTTTTTATAATTATTAATATAATAAATTAGTCAATTGAGATCATATCAGTACCATAAAAAGAAAATGTTAAAAATCTAACTAAAAATTGATAATAACATATTTGATTACATCGCAAATGAATCATAAAAAGCTATCAAACTACTAAAATACCATTGATAAAAGATTTAAACAACGTGAGAAAACTATCCACGAATATAATTAAGTATTCAAATCCAATCTGATGGTCTAAAATAGGGAATATTAATATGATAACAAATAAACACTATATTAATTAGTCAATACAATGTTAAATCTAACACTAAAAAAAAGTAAACGAAAAAAATAATTAAACGACCAATAAAAACATTAGAAATATGTTAAAAGATAAAAGAAAACCCAACATAAAGACAGAACTGTATAGATATTAAAACTAAATAAAAAAGAAACAAATATGTGATATAATAAAGTAAAAGTAAAATAAGAAATACCCATTATGGACAAATACTAAGGCAGATGTTACCGTCAACCACACGAAGATAAAAAATAAAACAAAAAAGGAGTAAGCGACGTGAGGAGAAAAGAACTCAAGGTTTTGAATAGGTCAAAATAGAATCTTAGTAATATATTTTATTCTATTTTTTTATTTTGATTAGTCTAGATTGCAAGGTAATTTCTTCGTTCTATTTTTAATTAAATATTTAATTTATACATAATATAGGGACTATGTGATCAAATTTAACCAATTTTTGTTCGAATGTTAAGGGCATATTCAATAATGGAAAATAACACAGTAGGGGTAAAACAGGAACTAACTATTCCAGTGAAATGAAAGTCTGAAATGGAAGCTTCTTTACTCCTGCATCTCCTCTCTGTCTGAGTCATATTTTTCTTCTTTTTTGTGTTTTCTTTTGACTTTCCATTGGCGTGAATCTCCACCCTCAGAATATTACCAAGCTTCGATCTTTACTTATAATTCCTCGAGGAATTAAATTCTTTATTGAACAATTTGTTTGCTGATCATTTCTCTTTTCTGGGTAAGTTTCTTTTCAGTTTTTGGATTATGGGTTTTTGTTTTTTGATTCAATTTTGATGTGGGTTGGTTTTAGTTTTCTGTTTTTACAAAGTTCTTTTTGGTAATTTGATTTTGGTTTTTTCAGGATCAGTGCTATGAGCATCTTAATTTTAGTTTATTTAATTAAGTTGATCTTGTTATGGCTCAGCTGATTTTGATTCTATTGATGAAAATTAAGACTTGGATTCATCTCGACTTTACTTAATTACCCATTAATTAGCTTATTTTAGTGCAAATTTGTTGTCTTGTCTTGTCAGAACATCATGTGCTTCCATGGAAGTTCGAGTTACTTAATGGTATTGTATTGGACTTTTGATTTTGATTCTATTGATGAAAATTAAGACTTGGATTCATCTCGACTTTACTTAATTACCCATTAATTAGCTTATTTTAGTGCAAATTTGTTGTCTTGTCTTGTCAGAACATTCATGTGCTTCCATGGAAGTTCGAGTTACTTAATGGTATTGTATTGGACTTTTGGCTCATCTGTTCACTTGTTCTTTTCCTTTGCTTGGTGATTATGCTGAATTATAGTCTTTGAATGCCACTAGTGCAACACTCTTGTGATGCTATGTGTTGTAGTTTGTAATGTATTAGGGGAAGCCAGCCTTTCGGTCTCCTTTAATGTTGTTATATATTGTTATGGTGAGATCTTTTCGATCTCTCATGACGATTTCGGACATATGTAATTTTCCCCTTTATTAGTTTTGATATGGTAAATCTTCTAGGAATGATCTACATATTAGTGGAAATGTTGACGTCTTTAGATTCATCGTTCTAAATAACTATTTCCTATCAGCCAAGATGCGTGCAACATCACTTCTTGCACAATGCTTGCCTGGTTTGGTGCCCCATGACCGAGGAAGCGAAAGCATGTCCTTTGTATCAGATAAAGATGTGCATCTCTCGTCTCCAGCTGTCGAGATTATCCCCTCAAAGGTATATTTCATCTCCCTATCAAGATACACTTGTGAAATTTAAACGTGTCGCATAAGAATATATGGTTGACTTTCATCTAAATAGATGGTTTAATATGTGAGTGACACGGTGGAGATTGAATTTGCATTTAAAATTAAGACATCCGGCTATTGTGCAGACGGCTCACCCTTATAAGTATGCTGGGGAATATGTAGACCTTCAGGGGCTCAATGTGTTCAAGGTATATTGACTCATTGCTTTATCCGGATTCCGGGCCGCTTCCATATCTTCTTTTGCTTACCCTTGTAAGTATGCTTGCTTATAAGTTTCCAATCTTCTACAGGGAAGAATTAGTGTCCTTGACATTGTTGGTTTCACTGGTTCCGAATTGATATCCTCGAAACCCGATGGTAACCTATTATCTACCGCAGTTTTATTGAGACGTACATTTTATTTAATAGTTTATTGTTACAAAGTATGATCTGAATTCAAGTATTTATGTGCCAAATCAATCAATTGCAACTGACAGATTTAATATAATTTTGTTTTGCAGGGTTCCTGAAATCTTGGGACAGCTCCATCGATCTTGTTAACGTCCTTAAGCATGAGATTCGTGATGGACAATTGAGCTTTAGAGGGAAAAGGGTGCTTGAGGTAGTTTAATCATAGAAAAATCTGAAAATATTATCAATCACTGCATGTAGCATTTGTTGTCATTTATTCGAATTCGTTTTTCAACTATGAAACATGATATATCAGCATTTTCATTTTCTTTATAGAAAAGTATGTTTTTAGGTCCGTTTAATGATATTATTAAACTGGATAAAATTCTTGTTTCATTTATAGAGTAAAATCTTGAAAGATTTAAGAAAGTGATCAATTGGTTTCAAAGCTTTTGATATAGACTGTGAGCTAATTGTTCTATTTGATAATTTTTACAGTTGGCTTGTGGCTACGGACTTCCCGGGATTTTTGCTTGTCTGAAGGTATACATTTTTATTGAACCTAGATTGTTGCACCTATGTGTTGTATGTATCTCTTTACTAATTCGATAAGGTCTTTAACCCTATCAACTCTTAATAGATTGGGAATTATGTGTATATTATCAATGTTACTCGAGACTCGCGAATGTCCAACATTTCCTAGTTGAAGGGTCCTTCGAGGATCATATCCTTATCCCTGTGTCTGAATATGCTTCGGACATGGGCGGTGGAGTCGAGTACTCAAAAGGAAAATGATGAGTCAGAACAACCTAGTATATGATGAAAGGCTGGTGGCTGGGATGGTGTCCGATAAATTAGAGCAACCAGCTTATATTATATGATGAAAAAGAAGTGCAATTTTATTCTTATAAATGATTGACTTGCACCTCATTCATTCATTGCCGGTACAGGGTGCTTGCACAGTGCACTTTCAAGACCTTAGTGCGGAGACTATTCGATGCTCTTCCATACCTAATGTTCTTGCAAACCTTGAGCAAGCCCGGGACAGGCAAAGCCGACAGCCGGAGAGTCCTTTGACTCCATCCAGACAAACTATTGCCCCAGCAGTGCACTTCTATGCGGGGGACTGGGAAGAACTTCCCTCTGTATTATCTGTTGTTCGGAATGATGTGTCCGAACTGACTACTAGATTGAGCTTTAGCTTCTCCGAGGAGGATTTCTTGGATGGATGCAGTAGCCAAGATGGTAGCATCATGGCACAAGAAATTTCCTCGAGGAGATCGAGAAGGCTTTCAAGAAGTCAGGCATGGGAAAGAGCTAGTGAGACGGATCAGGGAGAAGGTGGTTATGATGTGATTTTGATGACTGAAATTCCGTACCCGGTGTCTTCATTGAAGAATTTATATGCACTGATTAAGAAGGTTCGTTTCTTAATTTTTGCATTGCCTGTTTTCATTTCCTATGATCCTACAATATATATATATAAGGGAACCTGTCTCTATTATGTCATAGTCGGTTTTCCAAACGACACGACTGAAGCGACATTGGCATCCAGAGAAATTCATGATTTGCCACAGCAGTTGTTCACTTCCACTTGTAGTTTCATTGTCTTTTTTAACTCCGCTTGACACAATTTATCAATTTTAATCCCGATTATGAACAACCAGTGCCTGAGGCCTCCATACGGAGTGGTCTACTTGGCAACAAAGAAGAACTACGTCGGCTACAACAGCACAGCGAGGCACCTAAGAAGTCTAGTCGATGAAGAAGGCATTTTCAGAGCACATTTGATCAAAGAGGTGACTGACAGAGATATTTGGAAGTTTTTTCTCAAGTGATTGAACAAAGTTGCTGAGCTACGCAAAGAACAAAAATGGCTGCTAAAGTGATTGCAAACGTTGTGTTTTAGTTCTTTGGCATTGCTGTTAGCAATATATATACCATAAATTGTTTCAATTCTTTTAATAGTGAAAATCAAATTTTGGATATTCGAGAAGCATTAGTGCAGGCTAATTTTGCTACTTGTAATTCTTTCAATAGTAATCAATTCTTTCGGCACAATGTTTTGCGGAAAATGAAGAATCGATATAACAGGTTAAACTAACAGATAAAACAACACAATCCAATGTTTCACACAGTGCAAGAAGACACCAAAACTATACAACTTCATTAGGTGTCATGAGTCGCGAGCATATAACGCATATAATAATCCGCTAGATACGAGTTTGAAACAATGGTCTTAGTTGCTAACTTTCATTCATTGAAAATGGAGACATTACATGAGTCGGATGTTCTACTACCTGCATGATAAGAATTGTGCAGGTTCCAACTAAAAACAAAGGGAGAAATAGCAGAAGTTTGGATTTTTACGAATTACCCTGCCTTTGGTTTTCAGTTAATCTCCGCCAAACCATCCTCCTGCAGTGCATCAAGGTCAAGATCACCATTAAGAAGAGAAGAGGAATCCCGATAATGCAGCCATCGTATGCAAAATTTATCAAAGTCTGGAGGAAAATGTTGGTAAGAATCATTCACATGTTGCAATAGTTCAAGATGCAACTAAAGTTATATGAGAGAAGTAAGCTAGTTTTGACAACAAACAAGGTTCTCAAAAGAAAAATTAGTTTGAAAGTATCAGCGGTATGCTTGTATGGTAAACCATCTAATGTTAAATGGTTCAAACTTCGAAAGCATGGAAAAAGCATCAACTAATGAGGCTACTTCACCAAATTCATTTTCTACTACAGCTTCATGCATTTCAGTAATACTAATCTGACAAGGCATTTATAACAAACCGAACAAACAGAGAACATTCACAGGCTACCAATGCATGGATTATTGATATTATCAATTATTTTATGCCTCAGCATTACATGGCTCATATGAATAAGGCTGCATGAGTGCTGAACAATCACTGCTTAAGGATTAGAAAATTTGCAAATTATCAGACATGATAAACTGTTGAAACTGAACATGAACGTGAGGTATAAGCATGTAAAACAAGAGTAGAATGTTACCATCATTCCAGCCGCAAGATGAACCGAGGGAACAAAAAGTTGGTCCACTTTATTCCCTTCAGTATAGCCATTAAACGCAATAACCATCGAGAAAGTGTGGACCGTTACAAATGCTAGAGCAATAATTGCTGCAATGTTAGATAAAAGCTATTAGAAAAATATAAACTTAGCTTCAAATCCATTTTTAAAATTTTTCTTAATGGGTGCCAATCCAAGAAGAAAATTAAGATCAACTAGTCCTAGAAATCCAATATCAACCTACAGGTTGCATGAAATAAACAGTGTGCCTAAGTTGCAATAGAGGCATGCTTGATGCATTACATGCAATAAAAAATACATACAGATGCATGTGACAAAACAAAACAAAAAACAACTCACCAGAAACAAGGAAAAATGGTATTTGTGAACAACTATTGACGAAATAGGTTGCTGGACCAAATGCTGGTGTCAAGAGACTGAGACAAAAGAATACTGAGTGTGCTACACCATGACCCAACCCACCAGCTGATGCAGTTAACGGAAATTTGATCTCAGTGCATAAATCAAATTAGCAAGAAATAATGTTCATGAAGAACATAAAATGGAAATAAATATAATTAATTATTTCCACAAAAGTCCACAAGAGCAAGATAAAAGGGGGATCATAGTCTGGCCAGATTTATGCTTTTGATCTATATTCCCAATGAACATGTCTTTTGTACATCTCTAGAAGTAAAATTTACTGCAAATCAGCTCACAAAGGTCTGATAGAAGAACTAAGAGGGGGCATTTTAAAATAAAGATAACCTTAACTCCGTCATACAACAATTCATCGAATATACGTTCTTCATTCCCCTTCAAGTATCAATTCTCACAGCCAAAGCCAAAGCAAGTGAAGAACAGTAATCAGACAATTAGAAAGAAATATGGAAGCATCTTCCAATCTTACCAAGAGCAATTTGCATCTTATCGGTCAGATACAAGCGTGGCTTCGAGACCCTATCAGCAAAAGCATCCAATATGTCTTCTAGCCTCCTGAGAAAGACCAAATGCAAGCATTAATCAGACCATCCAAAACATAATGTTATATCCAAGTAGGAAAGTACACAAGACTCTATACAAATAATAAAAAAAAACCTTTATATGCCTAAGCATTTGGCTCAATGAAAGATGCATATAACTCCTACTCATGAACAAGGGATGAATCTAAAATAAAACTGGTTAATATAAGGCTAAGAAAAGACAAAAATAGATTGTAACTGAAAAACTTACCAAGAGCGTAACTTTTTATAATAAACTAGGTAACATTTTAGGTTTAAACTGAAAAATATTGCGTTCATATAACAAATCACGTAAATTGCATAATTATTCCCGTTGCAACCTAAAAAGTTACAACCAAGATATTCTCAATTGTAACCGAAATTATTACTAATTGTATAACTTTTTAGAGTAAACATGCCGACGGAACATTCTTGATTGTAACCGATATAATTATCAATTGTATAACTTTTTAGGTTGGACATAATAATGTTTTAGGTTAAAATCCGCTGCAAATTAGCCTTAGGTTAGGCCGTGGCACAGCAGAAATACCCATGATCAAGGTTCAAAGTTCCCCCTCTACAACATAATAAAATAAAGGACACAAATAACATTAATATGATAAGTAGATTCATTCGTTTTGTCATCCCAAGAAAGGAATTTTCTAATTGTTCAAAAGCAGCACTAATTGATTTCACATTTTTCTTTCTGCTTCTGAATAAAACAAAAAGGAAAGTAGTGATGGCAATTGGCTTACTTATAAACTTTCCAGAAAAGAAGACGAAGACCTTCTTGAAAAGCAACGGATGTGAATATAAGAATTGCAAAAGGCCACCATGTTGTTGAATTCAAAGGGAGGAAAGCTCTCCAAATTCCAGATAAAATTATCAAACTTATAAGCCAAACCAATGTACTGCATTATCAACAAACAAACAAACAAACAAACAAAAAAAGTTCATTTTGAAGTGAACAACAAATTCAGAACTGAAAATTAGATGAAACCAGAGCTGGGTTTGTTTGGTAAGGGAGAAAAAAGGAGGGAAAGTGAGGGAAAACCTGGAGAGGAGAGTGAGGATCAAGAAGGGCTTTTTGGAGATAACGGAGATGAAAAGGGAGAGAGACGGTCCTAACGCCACCAAAGCGTACCCGATCCCCGCCGCTACCGTCATTGTTCTTCTCCGATTCTCGTTTTCTCTTCGTCGTTGCTTTCGCCGGACATGAATTGGGATTTGGGAAGGTTTTAAGATTCAAGCTTTTTGTTCAATATAATGGACTCCTTTGAAATTTTCAATATAGTCCTTCCAATTTTTTTCAAATTTTGTTAAATCGATCAATGTCCCAAAACGACCACTCAATTTTTAAATAAATTCATTCTCAAAATTCAAAATATTTTAATTGAGTCTTCAAATTCTATTATTAATACGAATATAACGATGCATTCCAACTCTAAAGTGAGCGAAGAGGGGATTTAATTAGAAATGAGAAAGGAGATTAGATAAAGAGCATTTATGCTGAAGATTGGTAGTTGATAATCCAATAATTTCTTGTAATAAGACTAAGTATTTGATCGACTCGAGTATTCTTTTTAAAATTAATTAAATTGACGAGTCATATTTTATCATTTATATTTTATTTAAATTTTTTTAGTCAATTTGTTCAAATTTATATTCAAATTTAATTATAATTATTTATAATATTATAATATAAATTGATATCAATTAAATGATTTTCTCTAACTAAATAAGATATACACACATACATATCTATTTATATTTTTTTCATATTATAATGTTGTTCAATAAATTAAATACAATAAAAAATTACAAAATATATTTAATAATATTGTTTTTAAAAGAAATTTTGAGGATTAAGTATTAATGGGTTTATTGTATAAATAAATCGAGAAAAAATAATTTATTATAACTTGATAATTTCGAATACAAAGTATCCCGGAGCAGCCCAACAAATTTCAAATATCTTAAAACATTAAAAAAAAATTCGTATACAAGAAAATATCGTCAAATAATAATATTGAAATAATAATAAAATCGGTTATATAAAATTACATAGCTCCAACATAAGTGTATATTAATATAGTCAAATATCTAAAATAATAAACCATATACATATCCTAAAATACAAATGAGACCGTAAAAATTCGATGCTCACTAACAAATAAGGTATTATACTCTGTGATTGTGATTCTGGAAGTCCTTCGTCAATGAAGTTCCACAGACATAGACAAAATCTATTAATATGAAAATAGAGATAATTCAAACATCGAATTTTACAAGCTAAATGGTAAACAATTAATCTACCACACTTTAAGCAAATCATAAATATGAGCACACAAATCAAATGTATACAGAAAAGCATGACATGAATATCGAACATTTTAGTCATGAGTCATCGAAATCAACATACTCAAATCAAATCACCTGCATATCAAATGTGTAATCATAGAACTCCCCGATCATAGAAATTACAACTTTTAATTTAACTCGTACAATTTATAGTTATGGTGAATTTTTGATGTCGTTGTCATTGTTGTTTTCAGAAACAATATGTTATTTTATTTTTTGACCTTTGTTCACTCGAAAATGTATAAATCCTAATATATAACTCAAAATTGAGAACTATTTGTTTTAAACAAGACTAGGCTTCCGCATTCTTATAGAAATGTAAGGCAAACTTCCTATTTTAATTATCTTGTGAAATATTTGGTGTAACATCCGCAATACCGGGTTAGTGACCAAATTGTAAAGTTTCAGAATTTGGTGACTAAAGTAGAAGAATGAAAGAATTCAATGATTATTTGAATATATATATATTGAAGGTTATTTGGTATTTATTAAAGGAAATTAAGGGTATTATGGTCATTTGACCAGAAAGATTTTTTATAATTTTTTTAAAGGGTAATAAGCACGGAGGAAGAAGAGTCCAGAGCATTCTTCAGTCTTCTTCCTCCTCTCAACCGTGAAGCTTGGTATAAGGTAAGTGGGTCTTTAGTTGGTTAATTCTTTCGTTTTAAAGCTTGTTTTGATTCTTGGGATATTAAGAAAGATTAAGGAAAGCTTTAAGTGGCTTAAACCTCAAAGATTAACAAGTTATGAGAAAATTAAGAAAAATGAGTTTTTAAGTGAATTTTTGATATGGAAGGAGTTAATAGATTGTGAAGTTGAATTTGACTTGTCAAGGATTAAATTAAGAGATATGAAGTGATAGAATGGGAATTAGAACACATTGAAAATTTGGTATGATTTTTGAATCTTATATGGAAGATAGAATTTTGAGTTTAAAGAAGTGATTATGGAGTAGAAATGAGTTTAAGTATGTGTATGAAAGTTAGGAATATTAAAGGGAATGAAGTATGATGTGTTGAGCTGAAAATGAAGGATTTTCGAGCTCAAAATATGATTTCTGGGCAAGGGGAATCGGTACCCATTCAAGGGGAACCGATACCCCTTCAAACGAACAAGAATTTCCAGTATGTCATGGGGGAACCGATACCCCCATAGGGGGGAACCGATTCCCCCTAAAGGAAAATTGGGAATATGGGTTTAATAAGTTAGTTTAAGTTGCTAGTATCCAATTACAAGGTGTAGGTACCTAATGATAGTCTCGAAATGTACATTTATGTAGATTCTACGCATAAAGCAATTCCGGAACGTTTGGCAAGTAAGATCGATCAAGGGAAAGATAAGAGATTGGAATTGGCTAGTGAGGCCAGGTGAGTGCATATTAGTTAGTTTATGGTGCTAAATGGAAACAAAGACTTGCGACAAGTCTATTTCCTATGTTAGAAGGCATGAATATATGATTATACGTATATGAATGACATGAGTTGTATGTATGCATGAATATATGTGTTGACATGCTTTTGAATGTAATGTTATGAGAAGTATGTGCTATATAATGTATATATATATACATATGTGAAACTGAACTATGTGACTGCATGAGAAAGATATGAGCCATATGACATGATATAGGTGAACATGAGAAAGCAAAGTATGAGATATAAACTATGTGATCATAGTAAATATAATTATATTATATGATAAGTGAAATAAGCTGGATAATATTGATCTATAGGATGAAGTGAAAATAGTACACTAACTAGGGGATTTGAACATAAATGATAAGATGAACGTATAAGATAAGCTAGATGGGAAAGATTCATAGGTTTAAATAAAACTATAACACATGGGTTGAATGATAGAAATTTGTGAAGTTATATGAGAAGATTATAAGAGTGATATGAAATTGAATTAAGTAACAGATTAGATTATATATATAGAAATAATAGAAGTGAGATATGTTTATAAGTCTGCCCTAGATGAATACGAAATATAAGAGTGCTATATGATTTATATTAGGATAATCTTGAGGATATAGATATATAGATAGATATGAAATGAAATGAAATGAGTTATATGAATACACAATTATGTGATGAAATGGTGAATTACCTGAACATGTATATATATATATATGTTTAAGAGAAGGCATAAGATTAAGATATAAGCAATATGACTTATAAGTATTGCTATTATAATGTTACATGATATGTTATGTATGTTAAAGGAATTATGTGATGGTATAAGAATGCTATGAAATATATATATATGTGAAAACAAGTATAGGTTATGAGATAAGACTTATGACTATAAGCTACGTGAAAGTGTTCTAGGTGTTTCGATATATTATATGAAGTATATGATCTTATGTGAACAAGATATGATAAGTATGTTTATATGAATAAAGGTGATTGGGTGAGAAATGATAGAAATTATATGAAAACATGACATATGTGACATGTGAATTATATGGAAATGATCTACGTGCAAGTGAACTACGGGACTATGTGATCATATGAAAAGAAGCTATGTGATACGTGATATGTGAAAGTGAATTTCAAGTTTATGTGAATATTTGAAATGAAATAAATGATAACGCCCATGTTATGTGTCATGAGAGCTAGGGGTATAGTTGGCATGCCAAGAGTCGAGGGTCTATTCGGTTCTTTAGGACATATGTATATTCTTTGGAACATGTGTGAAGTCTCGAAAGACACATACTTGATCCCTAGCATATGTATATGATTCTTAAGGAATTCTACGTGGTCCTTATGGACATCATTATATGGCACTACGGTGCAATTCTACGGGCACTTCGGTGCAATTCTACGGGCACTTCGGTGCAATTCTACGGGGCACTTCGGTGCATTTATACGAGCTGTGGTGACAGCATAGTGCACAACCTCTATAGACTCACATATCGATAGTTCTCACATATATACATGGGCTAATCCAGAAATATGAACAAATATAAGTTAGTGGTATGATAAATGCTATAGAAATGATATGATGTTGTGTGTGTATAGTGTTTGATTGAAATAGTATGTGATTATATGATAAACTGTTAATGATGAACTATGTGTATGCATGTATTTACTGCAATTAATCTGATATGATTTTATACGATATGAAAAATGCATGAAGTTGCTGTAACATGATAGAACAGAACATGCATGTATCAATATAGGTTTTAAAGTGCATTAAGTTGTTATGCCTCACTAAGTCTTCGACTTAGCGTGTGATTGTTTCACACGTAGGTTTCGAGAAGAGTAAGGAGTGATGCGGAGCAAGACAGGTCAGTTTTCCTTACCAAAAGATCAGATCAGAAATATTTGACAAAGTATGTTTTTGGTTATGTATAAAGTGTTGGCATGTAATAAGTCATTAAGTACGAGCACTCTGATAAAGTCTGTATTTTGTTTTAAATAAAGTTTTAAATTTCCCGGGATTTTTCTTAAGAGTCAAGGTTTGAAAAGTCAATGTGACACTTCGGACTCGTATCCGGGTCGGATACGGGTTGGGGGTGTTACATTTGGTGATTTTTCAAAATCATTGTTAGAGTTGTTTTATGAGAATTCTATTGTTTAGATTTTCTGACTTTTCATCATTAAAAAATTTGTATTATTTAAAATAAAAATAGAAATTAATCGATAATTTTTTTAAAACAAAATTAGACCGACGTACAATTATAAAGGTGTATGAATCACTTCCCGATTATGTTTATGAAATTTATGGAGAATTTTCAAAGTTATAACATGTATAAACATTTCTTTTGGACAGATTTCATGAACTAATTTTTGACCTCATTTTAATCATTTAAACATGTTTTTTTTTACCTAAAGACCTACGACATTCATGCATTAACATCATAAGCATCATATTTATAACTTATCAA